TTACTATTGTAATAGCTGCAGAATGTGGTTTGTCATTGTCTTGCTGAAATATGAAGGTTTTCCCAGCTGAAAAAATCTTTGTCTGAATGGCAGGATATGTTGCTCCAAAACCTATTTAGCATTAATGGAGCCTTCACAGAAGTGGATGTTACCCATGACATGGACACTGATAATCCCCATACCATCAGGGGTGTGTGATCCTTCTCAGTGTCCATGATTTCCAAAATGAATGTCTAATTTTAATTCAGTTCAGTCCATCTTTAACTCAGAGGTTTAGAGAAGTCTCTGGTGTTTCTGGATCATGTTTATACCTGGTTTCCTCTTTGCACGGTTCAGGCTTTAACCCCAGTGATAAACTGTGTTCATAGACAATGGATCTTGAAGTGATTTGGAGCCAATGCAGTGACTCCTACTACAGAGTCCTGTCTGTTTTTAATGCAGTGCTGCCTAAGGGGACTCAAGGTCAGGACCATCCAGCCTTGGTTTTGGTCCTTGTCCCTTTAGTACAGAAATTTCTCCAGATCCTCTGAATCTTTTAATGATATTATGTTCTGTAGATGATGAAATCCATTCATTCTTTTTACATTTGACACTCAGGAACATTATTCTGAAACTATTAAACTATTAGCTCACGCAGTCTATCACAGAGTGGTGAACCTCCTCTCATCTTTCCTTCCTAGTATCCTTTTTATACCCAGTCATGTTAAAATTAACCTCATTAGTTTGGAGATGTTCCTCCAGCTGTTTTCCTTTTTTTAAGCATCACAGGACTTAAACAATCCTCAGTTTATATTCCCAACATTTTTTGAAAGGTAAACCCGAATAAAACAGACTTCTCTGGTGTAATTCCCCTAAAATCACCAAAAATCCAGGGCTCGTTTCTGAATCAAAAGGCTCTTCAAGACACACCAGAACCCTATCATCATGTCTTTTGTCACTGATGCATTTTGTGGTGCTAGGAGGGCAATTCAGCTCGAAAAAAAAATGACAGAAGTGCATCCAAGAAGCGTTCAAAGACACTGAAATGTGATTGCTTAACCCACCTGGGACACTTTTATTGCCAGATGCTGAGAAGCTGAAAATGCCACTCTGCCTCTGAGACACATATTTAATCTTTATTGCTCACAATATGTAACTACAGCGGAGAATGCTCAGTGGGAATGAGCACACACACACTGGTCTGTCTGCTGTGATAATAGCAGCTAAAGTGACACAAAAATTAACTGTGTTCTCTGTGTCATTAAAGCAACGGGGAAAAAAAGGCAGCTGTGGCGATTTAACACGTGCAGACAAACGGAAGACACATCAAGCTGCTGGAGCATTTACCTGATCTCTCATCAGACTGTCCCACACTGAAAGGTAGAGAGCACCACTAACAGACACACTTGCAGATATATACCACAGACTGTACATAAAGATAGATGGCACACCCATGTAGCGCTCCCTGTCGTGACTGGCTGCAGTGAAAGTCATAAAGCTTTTTCTTCCATGTGAACAGAACAGACATTAGACAAACATTAAAATGTTGATTGTTCTCATTTTTTATGATAAACACACTTTACGAAATCTTCTCTGCTAGCAGCTAAATAGGTAAGTAGTTAGCTAGCACGATGGCACAAATCTAGCTTCATTGGTATTTGCTGTTCAGGCTTACCTGTGCAGACAATTCCGTGTGAGTTTGTTTTGTTATAGGTCGCAAACTTTGCATGGAAAGTGGCGCACACTGCTATCAGGCCCGATTTTGTGTGTAATGTTTCAAAAATGAGGCCGCTGTTCAGTTATATGCAGTGTAAAGTAGTTACAAAAGAAGGGTCGTTTTTTTACCTGGTTTTCATAAATGTGCTAAGTAGTATAATATTTGAATGTACTGGATGCCTGAACATATTTGGGGGAACAGAGACCCTGGGGGTATTTGGAAAAGTTCAGTTCACTGTAGGCTGCAGCTTTTTAGACTTTTTTCAGCACCTTTGGCTGGTAAGCTTTTGTCTGAAAAACGAGGTCTGGTAGTTGAAAGATGGACACATTAAGCATATGGTTTGTCACTAGACTATAAAGTAACAAATGAAATGTTGATTTAGAGGCTTGCATTTAAGGTTGATTGAAAATAAAATGAGATGCAGCGTAGCCTGTCAAGTGCAAATGCAAGCATTAAAAAGCACATCTGGAAGCAGTTGGTTTTGGTCTCGTTGTGGTTTTTCTTCCTGCAAAATGGGACTTTGACTCAAGACACAAAATGCAAAAGAATAGAACTTTTGGATCTGTATTGAGACTCTATTCAGTATCGAATAGAGCTGGGTTGACTACATTTGCTTTATTAGCTAAAATTTACAGGCTTTTACAGGCCATAAGTCTATCGCTTTGACATAAACACTTAAACATGCTGCCAAGTTTGCTGCTGTCTCTAAGACTCCTGAACTCCCAGATCTCAGTTGTTCCATTATGAAATAAATTGATACTGTACTTCAGCATGATCGGCTTTATTACTTTGGAGTCAAGATGGAAGAAACGTGACTGTTCAAGCACATGATGGCATGACAACATGTAGTTCAGAAATAATTTATGTCCATATACACTGACATTGTTACTTCAAGACATAATGGTCAATATAAACTGACTTAGAGTTAAAAGAAATGCTTTATAAACCCAGTACTGACAACCAAATCAGATTATATGAATCAAACCAGCAACCATCAATAATGTGCAGACTGTGAAGCTTACAAAGTGAAAACTGCCATCAAGTTGGATAAATCGAAAGAAATTCAACCTTACTCTTAGGAGAGAAGGTAAATATAATGACAGTACTTTGTAACGTCAGCCACCAAACCAGACTCCTCTTCAGAAGTCCTCAGCAGTATCTGGAACCTGCAGTCATGCTCGATTCTTGTTTACACCATTTGAACATCTCCTCAGGTTTTCTCTCTCTGACTCCGATGGATCCACTCTCGTCTCCACTCTCTCTCTCTGAGCAGCTTAATTGATCCGACTGCCTTCAGCCGGTCTGGCTGATTAATTGCATTCTCTGTCGGTGTTTCAGGTCTGAGATGAAGCGGAGAGAGAGGAGGGTGAGAGAGGGCGTTTTGATGAAGAAGAGTCTGAAAACACGGCTCAGCCAGAGAATAGAGAAAGTTAGTGCAGCAAATGGAGTTCAGGAACTCCATTATGAGTCTGATTACAGCTCCGTATGATAAAATGTCTCAGAAGGGAACCGGCAGTGACGGGCAGCTGGGCTACTTTTCCGACTTTCTTTAAGTGGTGATGCCATTAAGCTCCCAGGAGAGCTGTAATACACGATAAAAACAAGCTGATGAAAGAGGAGTTTAAATGATTGATTTGCTCACATACACATGTGCTGCTGCAAATACCTCTGAGGGGTTTAAAATTTAAACATTTCTCTGTGCACATATTGTTCTTTATTTGCAAGTTGATGTCCATGTGCAGGTGTTTGTCTGAACAGGTAAACAGTCAAGACGAATCCACTTTATTTATAAAGCACATTTGGTTACACTTTACTTGATGCCTATCACTATAACGCATTATAAATATATGTATAATGCATTATAATCATGTTATAGCACTGTATAACATAAATGATCATAAAGCTTTATAGCAGTAATCATAATGCATTATAAAGCATTTTATCATGACTTACAAAGTCAGGTATTATAATGTGTTATAACTGTTAACTACTTACTGACAATGCCCACATAGATAATGCATTATACATATATTTATGATGTGTTATAATTATCTTATAAACTTGCATAACTATCATTATAAACACTCATTATTTTAAGCATTTTATCATGACTTAAAGGTCAGGTATTATAATGTGTTATGCTTATTGTTATAAAGCCTTGTGATAATTAATGAGTGTTTATAATGATAGTTATACATATTTATAAGAAAATTATATCATGCATTATCAATGTGGGCATTGTCAGTGAGTTGTTAACAGTTATAACACATTATAATACCTGACCTTGTAAGTCATGATAAAATGTTTTATAATGTGTTAGGATTATTGCTATAAAACATTATGATCATTTATGAGTGTTTATAACTATAGTAATACAGTACTATAACGTGATTATAACACATTATACTTATATTTATAATTCACTACAGAGAGAGGCATCAAGTCAAGTGTTACCGCACATTTAAAAATGTGGCATGCAGTGTACATGCAGACACAAAGCGCTGTCAACTGACAGCTGATCCAGTAGTGATCAGCACATCTTCAACCCAAAAACACAGAGCTTTATGTGCTCAGTGCATCATCTTGCCAAGTAGAGGATGCATGGATGCAAATTAAAAACTGTGACATATCATTGATGCTACACAAGTTTGTCCTAGTTTAGGAATTTTGCAGGGTGAGACACATCAATATTATTTGATTCACTATGTTATTTTTAGATATATGCCATGGACATAAATTTTGAGAAACAGAAAATGAACTCGCTCAGATACTGTTACTGTAATTCACACTGTAATGTCAGATAGCTGTGACTGCTGTGGTCTTCTCCCCTCAAATTTCTCTGACATTTGTTTGCTTTTCAAAAGTGAGGGCACAGTAAAGATGAAGACGACAATAATGAGGAAGTTCTAAAAGTGTGTGTGAGAGTGCCAGAATGTGTTTTGTCCTGCACGTATACCAGAGCAGGAATAGAGGGTTGATAGTTGCCTCAGTTGAGGGTAAAAGTAAAAGTTAACAAAACTTTTATTCTGAGAACACTATCAAGGACACTTTCACTTTTAGGTCCAATTATTATGCTGATACTGAACTTGCGCCAGCTCCATTCCTGGAAATTTCCCTATCTATCAGTTTGCATCATGATTATACAACACCCCACCTGAAAACAAACAGAATAATTCACATGGCCTAACCTGGCTCGGATACAAAGGAGGCAGGGAATTTCCCATGAACTGAACAATATTCAAAGCAAAAGCCTACAAAAGGACTTCTACCAGCAGCTGTGAAACATTCAGTCCAGCTGAGAGTCATGAGAGGTCTGGTGTTTCTGCTGTTGGTGGCTGTGGCCAGTGCAAGGGTCTACGAGCGCTGCGAGTGGGCCAGAATTCTGAAGAGACATGGGATGAGTGGACACGGTGGGGTCAGCCTGGCTGACTGTGAGTACCAGCCTGCCAGTCTGCAGACGTGTCAGATAAAGTTCTGCTCAGAAAATCTGTAATTTTTGCAAAGCAAAGGAAAAAAAAAAAAACTAAATTGGAAACTTTTGAAAGAGTTGGTCTGGCTCTGTGGTAGGAGTAAAGAACTATTCAGAAAATCATTAACCAGAAATTGAAGTGATCATGTAACTTTTTCCACACACAAAAGAAATTGGGAAAAAAAAACACGTCCTGAGCGGCGTCTTGACCTTTTTATTGACACAACTGAACACTAACTTGTTACCGCTTACCTCAGATGTATTTTTCTTCTAATGTGAAGTTTGAAGTTATTTAAAACAATGGTAATGTATAAATACACTCACATACACATGCATACCTAGCAACCAGAAAAATGACTCTACTGTACATACTTAGATTTGACCTGGTGGTGGATGTAATGTGCTGTATTACATTGATGAAAACAGTGGCTTTGGAGTGCAAAGAAAATTCTTACTGTGCAAAATACAGAAGCGGGTGAGCAGCAGAGTTTTTAGCACAAATACTGTTTGTCCAGTGAGGGTTGCAAGAGGGTTCAGAGTCCAGTGTTTTGGGGGGGCAGGGGCAGGAGAGAGTCCAGCTTACTGACAGCCTAATATAGCTGTTCATCAGTCTGTCAGAGCAGGCCCAGAGGCTCCGGTACCTTCTCTCTGAGGGCAGACGGCTAAACAGACTGTGCAAAGGGCAAAAAAACAGATGACCCAAAGTTACTCACAGGAGCTTTAAGTGTTGCTTAAATGGCAGCTGCTGATCCACCAACAGTTATCAATCTTTTAAAGCTTTCAGCATTGCCTTGCTTAGCAAACTCTTCAAACAAAGAAAATATAGTTTATATTTAATTCACACTACTTTTATAGATCAAAATGTATCTTTGTTTGGTGTTACCTTTTTTTCTATTTTTCAAGTCTCTTTTAAATGATGGACTTCAACCTGCAATAATATTGGTTCAAAAGGAAATGTTTATAGGGAAGTGTGTGTCCAGATTAGTTTAGCTTCACACAAATGCTTAAAAACGGGGCAGAGTCCCAGAGTTTGAAGAATTTCAAAGCAACAAGCTGAGATTTATGGATTTATTAACTAATTGTTTTAAAACTGGTTGATTTTAATTTCTTTTCTCTCTGCAGGGGTGTGTCTGACTGAGTGGGAGTCACACTACAACACCCAAGCCACCAACCGCAACACTGACGGATCCACTGACTACGGCATCTTCCAGATTAACAGCCGCTACTGGTGCAGCGATGGCACACAAACTTCGAATGCTTGCAACATTAGATGTAGCGGTCAGTTACCAAAACAATAATCTCAGTCTTAAATCCTGTTCTGTGAACTACTTTGTGCTCCCTTTTTGCTCAATCTCAAGGTTTAAATTCACAGAATTGCCCAAGCATGAGCGATAATCAAGCAACAAACCAACACAGTCACAACATTTGACAGCTCTGTGCAGTTTGTTCTTGTTTTGCATCCATGGAGATAAGCTATCAACATCTCCACTTCTTGCTGGCAGAGCTGCAGTGTGCATGCATATACTTTAGTGGATCCTTGAGCTTCCTTTCCACCCTGCATAAAAGCCTGGATTGTCTCCACAAATGGGGTAAAATCTGCCTGTATGCGCAGGGCTAGTCTCACATGAGCCCAGACTGATTCAACCCCTAATTTCAGCAATAATAGTCAGAGAGATAATAACAGGCTAAGTGCACAGATATACACACGTGGACAAAATGGTTGGTACCCCTCAGTTAAAGAAGGAAAAACCCACAATTCTCACTGAAATCACTTGAAACCTACAAAAGTAACAATAAATAAAAATTTATTGAAAATTAAATAATCAAAATCAGCCATTACTTTTGAATTGTTGATTAACATAATTATTTAAAAAAAACAAACTAATGAAATAGGGCTGGACAAAAATGATGGTACCCATAACTTAATATTTTGTTGCACAACCTTTTGAGGCAATCACTGCAATTAAACCATTTCTGTATTTGTCAATGAGCGTTCTGCAGCTGTCAACAGGTATTTTGGCCCACTCCTCATGAGCAAACTGCTCCAGTTGTCTCAGGTTTGATGGGTGTCTTCTCCAAATGGCATGTTTCAGCTCCTTCCACAGATGTTCAATGGGATTCAGATCTGGGCTCATGGAAGGCCACTTTAGAATAGTCCAACGCTTTTCTCTCAGCCATTCTTGGGTGTTTTTGGCTGTGTGTTTTGGATCGTTGTCCTGTTGGAAGACCCATGACCTGCGACTGAGACCAAGCTTTCTGACACTAGGCAGCACATTTCTCTCCAGAATGCCTTGATAGTCGTCAGATTTCATTTTACCTTGCACACATTCAAGACACCCTGTGCCAGATGCAGAAAAGCAGCCCCAAAACATTGCTGAGCCTCCTCCATGTTTCACCGTAGGGACAGTGTTCTTTTCTTTGTATGCTTGGTTTTTGAGTCTATGAACATAGAGTTGATGTGCCTTACCAAAAAGCTCCAGTTTGGTCTCATCTGTCCAAAGGACATTCTCCCAGAAGCTTTGTGGCTTGTCAACATGCATTTTTGCAAATTCCAGTCTCGCTTTTTTATGATTTTTTTTCAGCAGTGGTGTCCTCCTTGGTCGTCTCCCATGAAGTCCACTTTGGCTCAAACAACGACGAATGGTGCGATCTGACACTGATGTACCTTGGCCTTGGAGTTCACCTTTAATTTCTTTGGAGGTTGTCCTGGGCTCTTTGGATACAATTCGAACGATCTGTCTCTTCAATCTGTCATCAATTTTCCTCTTGCGGCCACGTCCAGGGAGGTTGGCTACTGTCCCGTGGGTCTTGAACTTCTGAATAATATGAGCCACTGTTGTCACAGGAACTTCAAGCTGTTTAGAGATGGTCTTATAGCCTGCACCTTTAAGATGTTTGTCTATAATTTTTTTTCGGATGTCCTGGGACAATTCTCTCCTTCGCTTTCTGTTGTCCATGTTCAGTGTGGTACACACCTTTTCACCAAACAGCAGAGTGACTACTTGTCTCCCTTTAAATAGGCAGACTGACTGATTATGAGTTTGGAAACACCTGTGATGTCAATTAAAGGACACACCTGAGTTAATCATGTCACTCTTGTCAAATAGTTTTCAATCTTTTATAGAGGTACCATCATTTTTGTCCAGCCCTATTTCATTAGTTTGTCTTTTTTAAATAATTATGTTAATCAACATTTCAAACGTAATGGCTGATTTTGATTATTTAATTTTCAATACATTTTTATTTATTGTTACTTTTGTAGGTTTCAAGTGATTTCAGTGAGAATTGTGGGTTTTTCCTTCTTTAACTGAGGGGTACCAACAATTTTGTCCACGTGTGTATATCACTGGTGAGTCATCCTGAGATGTAATTGTTGTCGTGATCATTGGAAAGTTTGAGTGTAACACATCTGTAGATCCTGCTGGGTAAATGCCTCCCACTATAAGTACTGGTTCAAGCCTACTCTAACTGTATTGGTGCAGATGTTAGCAATTAAGACATTTTTGTAGTGAGTAATAATGCATAGAATCTGGTCATTTCTGCCCTTCATGAATGCCTGATGGATTTTTTAAGTGCACATACAGCACAGGGACACATTTAGCTCTGCACTTCTCAGTTAATGCTGCATTTAATCTTGTATGTGTGCTTACCGAGTTAGTGTCATTTGCACGTTTAGCACAAAAACCATTTGTGAGTTATGTCCTCACTATTGAAAAGTTACAACCCCTCTTTAAAGTTTTTTCATGTGTACTCGGTGAATGAGATTGCTTCGTGGAATCCATGTTTTATGTATTTTTTTCCTCCACAGAGCTTCTGACCGACAATGTTGCAACAGCAATCACCTGCGCCAAGCGTGTTGTCAGGGATCCCAATGGAATTGGTGCATGGTAAAATCTGATCTCATTTCAAAATGACAAATTGTTAGACGTTCATGGACTTGAATAAGAAGACACATGAATAACATGATGTCCCTCGGTCTCTTGCAGGGTGGCCTGGCGCAATCGATGCCAAGGCCGGGACCTGAGCGCCTATGTGGCAGGATGTGGCGTTTAATCATTTCATGGTAAATGAGTCTGTCATCAGCATATCAAATTTCTCATGTTTTCAGGTGTATTGTAGGAGTGATACAATAAACCAAGAGAGGACTGGAAAAAGAGTGAACTCTGATCCTTGTTTTTTAGGTATTAGGTTTATTCAGTTGAAGTAATCAAAAAAAAGCAAAAATTAAAATGTGATAAAAATGTGCATCAGTCACAAAACAAAGAAACACTTATATCATATCATCATAATGCATCACATCTAATATAAAGGATTTTTTTATGTTAAGAGTCAGTTTTCTTTCAAGCAAAGTTTTGAATTCAGCAGCAAAAGACAACACCAGAAAAGTCATTGGGGTGGTATGATAAAGAGGCACTGTACTCACTGCTAATACAGGAGCGCATTGATGCAGAGGTGGAAAAACACCAAAACAAATTTGGCAAGTGCTCCAGGAGAACCTGTGCCAGTATATTACACATACAATCCTGTCTGTGCTGTGCTGTCTGTGGTTCATGTTTGGCTGCCATCCATTATTGGTTAATTCAACACTGACAGTCAATGTGCAGAAGCAAAAAATTACACAATGTCACAGACAGCACAGACCACATGATAATCAGCCTTTTTGTGGTACACTGGATGCCATGGTAGCACACCAAAAAAGAGAAATGAGAAACAGAAAAAGGCACTGAGAATGTGCACATGATGATCAGGTGGGTAAAAGTGAAAGTAAACTGCACCTTCACTCTGAGGTCCTACTATTGTGCTAATACTGAACTTGTGTTAGATGTAAAGCTGGAAATTCCAGTCTGTCAATCTTCATTGTTGTGGACTGAAAAAAACAAAGGTCACATGACCAAACTTGGCTCAGACACACGGAAGGAAGAAGAGAAGTTCCCATAAACTGAAAGCAGAAGTGTGAATCTGAACAGTCCATAAAAGCTCTTCTACCAGCAGCAGAAAAAAACACATTTGGTCCAGCTGAGAGTCAATCATGAGAGGTCTGGTGCTTCTGCTGTTGGTGGCTGTGGCGAGTGCGAGGGTCTTCGAGCGCTGTGAGTGGGCCCATATACTGAAGAATGCTGGGATGGATGGATACGAAGGCAACAGCCTGGCTGATTGTGAGTATTGTCGATCTGCAGACACTCAGTCTAAGCCTTTGCATTTTGGGTGTTTTTTTTCAACCTGCAGTTCCTGTCCATCATTTCCCCTCACTGTTGCTGCTATAGGCTTTAAAATCTGTCATACAGAACATGCAAACGTAGACATGTTTGGGGTTTTCTTTGCATTGTAACCAAGTCATAAGTGTAAATTTATTTGGTGTAGCCTACAATGGATATCAGTCAGCAGACCCTTTCTCAGTTTGTTGTATTGGTTTCAGGTCAATCAGCTCATTTCCAGTATTTTTATCCTGTATTAGGAGGATTGACAAAAATATGGTCAATCTCTTTCAAATCAATGCCATTAAAGGCTGTGAACGAACATGACTTTCTGAATACAACGGTGAAGCAGTTTGCCGCCAGAAAAATTAAAGGAGACCACTCCACTCATATAAAAACAAGAAACAAAGAACTGAATGCCACGACTGAGCATTTTATTTTTACACATCCTGATAAAGATGGATTTTACCTCATTTAACATCAACTAAAAAGGAAAGGTTTATAATGTTTGGAATTGAACTTGTTTGCTCATCCAAAAGCAGGTTAGTTTATCTTAGCCCAACATTCAAAATATAAGATACAGTAACTTTGATTTCCTTTGCAGGGGTTTGTCTGACCCGGTGGGAGTCGAGCTTCAGCACTCAGGCCATCAACCACAACACTGACAAATCCACTGACTACGGCATCTTTCAGATTAACAGCCGCTACTGGTGTGATGATGGCTCATTCAAATCTAATGCCTGCAACATCAGATGCAGCGGTCAGTAATAAAATACCTCAAACCTGATTAAACCTGCTTCTAGTCAGGCACTCTGCCCTCTCCATCTGCTCCATCCCAAGGCGCATTAAAAAGCATACTGGACATGTGATATTCAAATGCAAACAGGCCTCAAAGGGTTTGGTAGCTCTGTGCAGTTTACTCTGGCTTTCCATTTGATCTTGAGTCTGGTCCCATCTCAGTTTGACATAGTTTCACGCAAAATATGCTGAACATTACCCACTGACACAGTAATGTGTGTAAAGTTGGTATTAAATGACATGGACTACAGCTGTATGTGAGCTGCAGATACCCTCTGACCTTGAAAGGTCCTCTAGTCTCACTCATGACAGTAGAAACTCTTTGGATTTTTAATTTCAAGGAAAATTTTGAAATATTTTGTAAAAAGATCAACCAAAATGTATCTTTTGCATACTGTAGATGAAATCCTCAAATAACCATTCAAATCTAGATTTCTTCATTTTTCCTTCACAGACCTTCTGACTGATGATGTTGATACAGCAATCACCTGTGCCAAGCGTGTCGTCAGGGATCCCAATGGCATCCGAGCCTGGTAAGTTCTAACCGTGTGACTGAATTAGAGGTTGTGATATGATCATGGACCCTTGAGTTTTGAAAAGATGAGTTACACTTTTGTATGTCTCTTTTGTGTGATTACAGGGTGGCTTGGCGCGTTCACTGTGAGGGCCAGGACCTGACCCCCTATCTGGAGGGATGTGGTCTTTAATCATTACGCTGAAAAAGGAGACTGTCAGAGTTCTCATGTCTTTAGATGCGATGGATTCAGATGTTTGTTTGGTTGTATTTTTTTGGTATTCTTAAACTGACAGTAGTATCACAATAAACTTAGATAAACAATAAACTCGATTCTTAATTCTTATTTATCAAGTTTATTATCAAGTTTGAAAGCAGGTGTTTGGGTGATTTAGGGCCTGGGGTCAAAGGGCAAGGCAGTGTGTCTTATCATCATAATAAGTTTATTGGAATGAACTTCATGTTGAATATGTCAGCCGGGGCTATACAAAGGTTCTAATACTATAATGAAAAATACCTCAACTCAATATTTTTTGCATTTAGTATAATGATATTTTTGGCTGTAACATTTCAGCAATTTCTTTGGAGCAAGGTTTTGAATTTTGTAGCAAAAAAACTCAACTCTTTTTTGCAAAATGTGGATAGGTTAATTTCTAACTGTACAAAGGTGGCTCAGGCTATTGTGATGAGGCCCAAGAAGATATATTTTGGATCATTATTGATTCCCAGCAACGCCCCCAGTGCAAAGTAATAACGCATTTCAAACTATTTCAAGGTGAGTTGTCTGAGTGAAATAGGTCAAGAATAAAGATGTCATTTTTATGCTTGCAGGAAAGTTAGCTTTATTGATTAGCTTATTTGCTGTCTGATCAGACACAGAAAGAAAGAAGCAATTCGGTATAACATTTGAAATGTGAGGAAGATATTTCGCTGATTTCACCACTCATCATCATCTTAACAACCGCTAAAGCGGCTCAGGTCCCTGTTTGCACATCGGTCCGTCCAACCGTACCTGAAAAGGACAGAGTGACATTTTGTAACTGATCCTTCCTCGATTAGAGGGTAAAAAAAAAACTGAACTCAGTCATATGATCAGATCTTACCAGGCTCTGAGGCCCTGACGGCGGACTATAAGTTTGGCGCAGTTGATTGCGGCGGTGACATCATCAGACAGAAGATCTGTAACCAAAATATTAAAATGAGTTGAATGGTATTTTTTTAAATTTATATTTTAAATCTATTTTTGATGGACATTTAAAGAACATCCACATAATGATTATCTAGTGAGCAGATAGGTGAGTAAAATGTTGCTGTTTGTCATTACTGACCGCTGCATCGGACACCGCAATCATTGTGTGAATCTGTGCCATCATCACACCAGTAATAGCTGTTAATCTGGAAGATGCCGTAGTCTGAGGATCCGTCTCTGTTAGTGGGGTTGGCTGAGGTGTCATATTTAGACTCCTCCCAGGTCAGACAAAGCCCTGCCAAGGAAAAAACACAGCAGTAGAAATGCTCAGAGGTCTCTTTCAACATGAAGCCCAAATACAGGACTATCTTTTAACATTAAAAACGGTGAATTTGTTCTGAGTGTTCAGAATATGGAAAAGAGGCCTGAAAGGGATAATATCCAACCTGTCAGGATTATATTATCCTGACCTAACCTCCCGTTAACCACATCTACATACAGCATGTGTCTGGTTTATACTATTTTCTTCTTCTTTATCTTTTTTCACATATATCTAGTGAGTTTTACTGGCAAAAAATATCTTTGATAAATCAGCTGTTATCAGAGCAAAGACAGACATCAATGTATCAGTGATTTCTCACATCTGGACAGAGCTTACCGTGAGGAATAATAAGACACTGAAAATATGACTCTGCAGACAGACATACAGTTACTCACAGTTAGCCAGGCTGACACCATTGAATCCATCCATCCCATGGTCTCTCAGCACTTGGGCCCACTCGCACTGCCAGAACTTCTTGGCACTCGCCACCGCCACCAACAGCACAAAGACCAGACCTCTCATCCTTGACTCTCTGCTGGACCGAATGATCATCTGCTGCATGTCAACATCTTTTTAAAGGCTGCAGAGATCCACACTTCTTCTTTCTCCTCTTTGCACATAATTCACTTTTGCAAACATGGCTTCGAATTTCACTGAGCAAGGCCTTTTCACTTCTGCTTTTCTGTTTATCATCGGGCTGATGTGTTACATAATTATTATACAACCAAAGTTCTAAAAATGTTGGGACACTGTTGGGACACTGTGTGAAATGTTGATGGTACCAGATAATTTTGGTGCTAAATGATCAAACCCACATTTGATTTAAAAAGTAAAAAGACATCACAAATTTAAACTGAAGAAGGTTATAATTCTTGCAACATGCTTTTAAAAAAGTTGATACAAAAATGACCACACAGGTAAAAAAGTTGTGTAATGCTATATTTAAAAAAAAAAAACTGGAGGAGAATCTCCCACTAATGAGGTTAATTTACATCAGGTAAATAACATGGCTGAGTATAAAAAGGACATTCAGAGAGGAAAGTAAAGAGGGGACGAGGTTCACCACTCTGTGAGAGACTGTGAGCTGATAGTTCAACAGTTTCAGAATAATGTTCCTGAGTGTCAAAAGTGAAAGAATGAGTGGATTCCATCATCTACAGAATGTAATATCATAAAAAGAATCAGAGAATCTGGAGAAATCTCTGTAATGTTGGTAAACTCAGAGCCTCCAACAGCATTACTGCAGCACTGCATTAAAAACACACATGACTCTGGAGTGGAAATCACTGCATGTGTTCAAAATCACTGACTGTTAATTAACACAGCCAATGCAGGATGCAAACGTATGTTAAAACTATACCATGCAAAGAAAAAAGACATTTATAAATATGATTCAGAAACACCACAGACCTGAGCCCATTTGAGATGGTCTGAGGGAAGTGAAAAAACTGTCCTGTCTGATAAATCAAAATGTGACATTCTTAGTAGAATATAGGAGCTTGCCATATTACATTTTAGACATTTTTCTGTGGACACAGGTGTCTTCTGAGCTAGCACTCACACAACACACGATAAGATAGATTTAGGACAAAAAACAAAATTGAAAATGAAGACGGACATGCATAAAGAGAGAACGGAGCTTATATCCACAGTCACAAAAAATGTGCAGAACAAAGATGCAGTATCACAAGCTGCACATTGAAATGAGGAAATGAGACCAGGAACCAAAGGCTAACCCTTATATTGAGGAGGGTGCAGTTATGAGTAAATTTAACCTTGTTGACCCAAAAACTGCTAAGTACACTCTGTCTCATATTAGAGAAGACTGTTTTTTCTGATGGCAAATTTAGTTGGTACATTCTAGTCAAAACACTCTCAGAAATGAATTCTGAGCAGCCATCGATATCCAATAACCTACGGTATACCACTCTAACCAACCCAACAAATAAAATGTAATTTTTCCCAGAAAACTGATTTTATTCTAAATTTGATTCTGCTCTGACCGTTGAGAGAAGAGAGGAAGAGTGAGGCCCCTGTTGATACAACCATTTACCAGTGTTTCCAGACATGTAGGGTTATGGAACCATCAAAACATCTCACTGTACATTTTATTTTTATGCTGTGTTGCTTACATCAGGTCATGAAATACTTCATTTTCGTTGTTGTTTCAACATTTTTAGTCACTACAGCTAGCATAAGCTGCAGGGTCCTTCCTCTCTGCTCTAATTAATACATTTTACTAGATAAGCCTCATCTGTCTTCTTTTACTTTTTTATTTTTTATTCAGAAAAAAAAAAAACTCCCTTGGTTTTGATATAAAAAAAAAAAAAAGCTGACATGAGATGAAAAAAAGAAACAGAAAACTTAAAAAAAAAAATTAACCCACTCTGCAAAGTGTTTCACCTGTGGTTGAAGATCCCATATCTCTTCAGGTCTTTGCAAACAAGCTATGGTCTATTTTGTCAAGTGTCTCAGGATAAATTATGTTGAATACGTCGTTCCCTCTTGCCTGGAAAAATCTGCAGACTGATTTTTAACTTTATTTGCCTAAATGTATTTAAATCGGTTTGGAGACCATGTTTTCTGAATGGAAATGTTTTAGCTGACTTTTTAAAAGACTTTTTAGTTCTATTTCAGAACAAGAGCCACACTGAAATCAGAGATCTCTTTATCCAGGAAGACAGCTCTCTGTATTCTCTCTCATTGCTCCTCTGATTTCTTTCCTCTTTCCTTAATCCTCTCCCCTCTGAGCAGGGTTAAGAGCTTTGGATCGCCACTTAGCATGGCGGGTCTAAGTGCTTCAGGTTTGGCTGTGGACTGGGGAGACTGCAGGGCCTTGGGATCCAGGGTATATGTGTTTGTTCTGTTGTTGTTTCCTTTGACTCACCTTACCCTTGGTGTTTCCTGTTTGACTGTTGAAACAGTGTGTTGCTGCCAGACTGGGAAAAAGAGATCTCTGATTTCCGTGTGGCTAAACTGGCTAAATCAAGGTTAAAAAGAAAGTTAGATAAAACACATGCAGCCCTGAACCTGCTCAGCTCCCACAGACTTCTACTTCCTGCTCTCTTACTCTGTTGAATACCGAGATTTCTCAATACAGCGTGTTCAGCACTGAAGGCTTACTTGGAAACAGCACCATTCTCTCTTTTCAGAGTTGAATTATGTCCCTGGGACTCAGTAGAAATCCTGGTACCCACAGTGAAAATATCCTGAGTTCATCCAAAGGTCCCCAGTCCCTTATGAAAGTTCATAAGACGGAAATGCTGCTCCAGGGCTCCCTAAAAGAGCAGAGCCCTTTATCCAAAAATAACTGTATGGTATGACTGTCAATTCTTTGATGTTTCTCTGGCTCGAGTGTTTCTGTGTCAGGACGAGAGCAAATACCTGCAGCGATGTGTTGGAAAGCCTGAGAGGATGCTGCAGATAAACTCGAGTTGTTTGGTAATGACTCCTTCATGGCTGTAATGTTGAAAAGCTTTATTGTGATCAGATACAGCTCCATGTCTGCTGTTTAACCTCCTCCACCATGTTCAGATGCAGAGCACGAACAGGGACGCCGTTACAGGATGGATGCAGGAATCCCTGGACAGAGAAAGAGAGAGAGAGAACGAGAGAGGGGAGGGAGCATCTGGCAAAGAAGCAGGAATTTAAATGTGTAGTTGCTGTGATCAGAAACTGGCATCATAGAGCCATTAGCAGATGCAAATGAGAACCGAGCTGGCAGGCTGGTGTTCCTCACTCCGACACACACATTCATACCACACACTGCACACGCAGTCGCATACAGTCACACTTACAGAGGCCAACATCTGGACCGGGAGCTGCTGCTGCCAAGTATCTGACAGAACAAATAACATACTGATTAGTTAGCCCATCATACCAGAGGAGGATGAAAATGTAAAGTTCATTCTGAAGGGAATGTAGATTGAAAGTTAAAGGTCAGTGTAATCTGGAGGGTTCACCCTCATGGGAGCAGGAAAAGGATGGGGAAATTAAGTGGTAGTTGGGGAAATGTTGAGCACGTCATTTTTAAAACCGTGTGCATAAATAAGAGATGTTTCAATACCAGTAACTACTTAAAAAATAGTTTGTTTTGTTACTTTTATGACTGATATTCATGTTGTGCAAGGACAGTGATGGAGACTCTTGTTTGATATGCTGCTGATGAAAACAAAGGAAAAACAAAAAACAATCCCAGATACTCACCTGTTTCCAATGAACTTGTTCACTTGTGGACTGATCCACCAGGTGTTTTTGGAGCAGTCCTCAATCTTCATTAACCCTTTTCAAACTTTTCAGGAACGTGTTGCAGCATAAAATTCAAAATGAGTGAATATTTGCAAAACAAACAAACACAAAACAATCAAGTTTATCAGTCTGAACATTAAAGGGATATTCCGGCATAAAATTAATTAAGAGTCAAACACACCGTAACACTAAGTTAAACACCCCCACGAGAGATGAATGTTGCCGACCCTAGTTGCTTCCCTAGTTATACCAACTTTAGTAACGACCACACAACTCACCTACTCAAGGTGACGCAGCTCAAGGAAGAACATTTATGATCATTTCTTCATGGAAATGCAATCCGACCGAGACGCGAAGGCAGAAGAACTACCGAGTCTGCAGTGCAAAATGACTAATATGATGATTATTACTTCAAGGAAATGATAAAGTAATGATCATAAATGTTCCTCCCTGAGATGTGCCCCCCCACCTCAATCGGTGATGGACTGGTTGAGATCTCGCTACAAACAAGCGGCTGCTGGAAGAGAGTAGGTGGGTTGTGTTTAGTCTCTTTGCTACAGAAATCAGGCAAAGTTAAAAAGATGTTTGGTGGCTAGTGTTATGGCTGGGACCCTGTACTGTTGATGCATTAGGTTAGTGTAAGTTCGTGGCTTTTTAGTTGAGGTTTGTGTGTGGTTCCATAGACCACTGTGTATTGCTATCGTGCAGTTGTTACTAAAGTTGGTATAACTAGAGAAGCAAGCAGTCGGCAACATTCATCTCTCGATGGAGTGTCTAACTTGGCGTTACGGTGTGCTTGACCCAAAATTAATTTAACGACGGAATATCCCTTTAAATATCTAGTCTTCATAGTAAATTCAATTAAATACAGGTAAAAAGCAATTTGTTACTCATCGTGTTCTGTTTTTATCTTTTTGCTCCCATCACACTTTCAATCAGGAATTTTAAAATCCAAAACAACATCAAGAAACAACTGTGAATATAGTCATTTATTTACTCCAGTCCAAGAAATGTACACATACTTACTGCGTCCTCATAAGGTATAAAATTTGTCTTAAATAAGCAATTGTTCTATTTCATATTTCATGTAAATTCTCATTTTTTCATTAAAACCCCTGAAGACTTCTTAAAACTGACAACAGTCACACACCACAAACATCCAAAAATATCAAGCACAGTTAGAGTTAGAAGAGTTAGCAAAAGCCGTCCAGCAGTTTGCAACCTGACTTTGGGATCACTGAGGGTTATTCATTATCATTATTATTATTATTTCATCACCTTTATATTACAAAGAAAATAACTTCCATCTGTATTTGAAAAGTGAGAGATTATAAGCGCTTATTGTAAAGTTTGTGCATATCATAAATCACAGAGAAGGTTAAAGGCTTCGGTTGTTGCTATAAGCTGTAAAATATTGCTGCTGTTGCTCCCCATGTTCCTGTTCCTGGTTCCGTTGTTGGTGTTTGTTGACGCATTCATGTTGCCGCTGGTGTTTCTTTTCTTTCTGATGCAGTTATTGCTTCGGTCTTTGCTATTGCTCTGGAAAATCACTGCAGTTTCCATGTTGGTGGAGATGAAGCTGAGATTAACGGTTCAGTGCGGGTGATGTTTTTGTCTCTGGGTAGTTTGTTTGTTTTTTTTTTGGTTTGATGTCCAGATGAGGAAGATGATGATGAAAAACCTGAGGCTGGTGGACAGAAAGATTCTAGAGAAAGAGAAAGAAACAGAGGAAGGAAAAGTTACATCAAGTTTTTGTGAAATACTGTCAATCACAGATGAATTATCTCCAAACTTAGACAACAAACATTTGGGCCTTTGGGTTGGGATACTCTGTAATCCTCAGGAGCCTTCATTCACTAGGAAATCAGCCAAGACTGACGGTGTGGAAAAGTGGGTATATTTTGTAGATTTCACAAAAATAGGTTGATGAGGGCCGGAAGATGCCAGAACAGATTTAGTTTGAGTCCAAAAGGTGAGCAGCAAAGGGGATTTTAGGATAAACAGTGGGAAAAAGTATCCCCAAAATAATCACTTTTTTAGATTAATAATCATGGACTCAGTGTTGATCTTACTAATCCTGATTACCATTTCAGCCGTGATTCCACAGACCTTGTATTAAGTTCAAGTTTCTATTGTGTTTTGATTAAAAAATAACACTTGAAAAACAGACACGTGGGAATTAATTTGCATTCTGACTGAGTTATGAGGTTTCTTTGTCAAAGAGCGAAGACACTTCAAACATTTAGAAAAGCTTGTCAGAACAAAAGCACAGCATATGCAGAGGTTTAATTAGACCCTCACCTCTCTGGGTGGGCTTCCTTAGCCCTCTACCTGTCACAGTTTGGTAGGCAGAGTCAAACAACAACATTATTTATTCACATGTCCTTAATTGTATTCAGTATGATTCTGTTCTGAGAGTTACGCTCAATTAATTCAGCTTACTCAGTCAAAGTGCAACTCCTTCATTTTCAGGAAGTCAACAGCTCCATTGTTTTCACATCTTATTAACCCAGCTGTGTTAAATACTTAATGCTGGTCTAGGCTCCTTAAAAAGGTGATTACAGAAAAAGCTACACCGAATCGTATCAATCCACACTGGTACTGATGGAGGAAAGCAGAGCAACATTCTGTCCTGCAATCCATGCAACAGCAGAGCTGGCTCTAAGCTTCGGATCTCTACAAAGTCACTCAAACCTTATGTGGTTGCAAAAATAGTTACGATGTTAAAGTTATGACATTAGCCTCTTTTATATTGCATCAACTGCAAAGCTTCCAGAAGAAGGAGAGCTAAAAGAGGAACGAAATATCGTCATAAAGCTTTGCAACTAAGGCTGCACAATATTGGAAAAACTAACATTGCAATGTTTTTCAACCCTGCGATATATATTGGGATATTAAAAAATACAAGAATTTTCACCAGATGACCTGAATAGCACTTTATGCAGTGCTGCACTGCTTAAATCTTGTGGATGATTAACCTATGCTGATCTTACCTCTTTTTGTGAATGTTAGTAGAATGGCTTCTGTCTGTCTTAGAGATATTTTTAGTTTGCTTTTATTGTGCTGGGACGTTATTGTGGCAACAGATGAAAGACACTGCAGATGCAGAACACGTGATTTGGTCGACATCATCCTTCTTGTAACCGAAATAATTCCAGATAACTGACGTTGCTTTTATTTTTTTTTAGCAACAAGTCTTAATTTTCAGCGTTTTTTTCTTGTTCGTTGCTCATTTTGCAATCCTTGTTGTTGTTACCGGTGTTGTGCCGAGAAATGCATGCCCGCTGAGAATTGCATGCACCCCACAAAACACGCACCACTTATAGTAGAGTGGTCTGTGGAAATGTACAATTTATAACCCATACAATTCCTATTTGTTGGGGCTAGACAGTGATGAGTAATGTTCCAAAAGTAGTTCTCGGCAGGAATGCGTTTCTCAACACAAAACCGGCAGTGACAGCTACTCACTCCATGCGCAGGCCATGTGCAGGGGCGTGGTTTCCACCTCTGATTTTGAGTGATGGCTAACAGGGTAGGTAGAGTCATATGCAGTGTATCTCAGTCAGCTACCCGTAAATTAGATGAGTTCATTCGCCTCCTACATCGCAAGCTCTGCAATATAACTATTGCGCACACGTACATCGCGATGACGATACTCAAACGATATATCGCGCAGCCCTATTCGCAACGGGGTCTTAATCACCCTGTCTTACTCTGTTGGTGATTATGGTTCATATAACTACCTGCTCTCTACGCAGTATTCCTTATATCACATGAAATTTATCACGTTGTCAAACATCCAATCATTGACGAGGGCAAATCAAGGGGTGAAGCAAGACAACAATCTTTTAATCCTGAAAATAAATCTATAATTTATACACACCTCCAAGTAAAACTATTAACTTTTTCTTCACAGATCTCACCTCAGCCAGAATTGAAACACTTCTGAAAATAAATTAGATTTTTGGAGGGTCAGGCTTGGTGTTAAGGGAGAAGGGAGGAAAGGATAGGTCAAAAGCAGCCTTCACAGACAATTAAGTACCGACACGTGTTTGTGTTAATGAGCACTCAGCTCTACACTGATGAAGAGATAAAGTGTGAATATAATCATGAGGCTCCCTGCAGGGACCTCTGAACAAAACTCCGCCCATTTCGCCCAATCTCCATTAAACCAAATTGATTCGTTAAGCTTGTCTTAATAAAACCCACTTAATAAAAACTCTCTGCAGAGCAAACCGCCTTCCCCCACTTCCAGTGGAATTATAAACACCCAGCCTCTGGACGAAAAAATGTCCAATTAATGTAGAGAGCCTCCATGCTAATCATTAGCTTCATTAACCCCCCGACACCACCTCCCCCACGCTACATGAAAGAGGGAGGTGTGGTTACAATTAGGATGCCTGTCTGCAGAGGCCTTCAACCAGACTGAAAACATTTCAATTATGCAAAAAACACCAGAGTACAGCTTTTTTTTGGACAGAGAGCAGGAGGGATATCAAATATTACCATGTGTTCCTCTTCCTATTGGCTGCCTCCTGGTGCCTGAACACATTCTGCCTCCTGTACTTAGGTCAGAATACAAAAATTGCTCAAATACATTAACAAAATATATGCCAAACTGATATTCTTAACTCTTTTCCATTTTGATTGTACTATCCGTAATCCCCCTTTCACAGTTTTACCCTTTAAATGACCCATTTTGGTGCATCCTTTTTTTCATTTTAAATATCTAAATGTGCAGTTTGAATCACCCCTTTTTTTGTTGTCCTAGTTTGGGAGATCCTCTAGATTAAACGTTTCAAATCCAATTTGAATCCCTAAACTCCACAGGCTCTTTCTGTTAAAATTTACCAGGGGCCATTTGGAATCCCTTCTCTCTAATTTTCTCCCTTTGACACTGCTGAAGTTTTGATCTGATGCCACATAATACATCTATTGCTCAGTTACTTTGATAATGAAACACACTTTTTAATTTAGAGTCCCTTCTCTGGAAATATTCTTAAATGCATTTGAATCCCTCCAAAGTTCTACTTTTAATTCTACACAATGTCACTTGAATTCCTGATCCAGCTTATTTTCCATTTAAGTGTTTGTTTTGTAGACAAATTGTTGTATTAATTTCCACATTAAATCAAATAGATTCCTAATTTGTAACATTTTGGATCCAATTTAGTGAGACTTTCACATTAAGCCAGTTTTAGTCCTCCCTCTGACTCTCCTTGTCTGGTACTATTTTAAACCTTTAACAAATTCTTCAAATACCCTTTCCTTGACTTATCCTTTGACATGCTATTTTGTTTTGTCTTGTTACATTTGGAATTCCCTCTAAATGTTTGGAAAATCCATTTTAATTCTACTTGCTACATTTAGAAAGACTTTTAAATGTTTGTTACATCCCAGAGTCCTTTTTTTTCTGTTTCTCTTTTTTCAACTTCAGTCTCTCAAAATCCATAATTCGTCTTTGCCATTTCCCCTCATTTGATTTCTTGTGATGCTTTTTAAAAGCTGTGCACTTTCCCAGTATAGTCGACATTGCACCATTTGGAGTCCCTCTTCTACTAATTTATCAGTTTGACATTTTACCTCTCTTTACTTTTCATGTGACTAAATGAAAACCCTCCTTCTTCCCACTTTGTATTCTTTGTTTTTGCCTCTTTTTTTTTAACTCAATTTTAAAATTTTGATTCCCTGCTTTCTACTTCAAATAAACCTATTGGCATCTCATCAATGGCTCATTCTATTTTAAGTTCTTGTTCTTGATTAATTACTTTATTTCAATTTTGGACTTGTTTTTTTATATGATTATCCCATTTTAACACACATTTTTACTGTTTGCATTCTTTATTACCACTTGCTCGTACCATTTTGCATCCCTTTCTTTACTTTAAGTCCTTTCCTTTAAGCACTTAAATGATTTCTTTTTCCGTTTTGATTCCTTCTTCTTGGATCCTGCCTCCTATTTGGTCTAACGGGAATCACCAGATCTACGCTAGTGGTCTCTATTTTGTCTATTTTCCACACATTGTAGGTGAATCCTTCAGTCTTTCCCAAACCCACCAAATAGCCTTTATGATCAAGTCTTTGTTTCCCTATTTTCTGCTTCATTGTTTTAGTGTTTCAGCTTATTAACATGTCTGTGTCTGAATGTTGCCTTTCAGTGCTTCAGTATTTTCATGTTTCGGTCTGATAATCCTCAGCTCAGTCTTAATTACTCCCTAATAATTAGAAAATCCTGATAATCTGCAGCTTAATCGAGGCAATTCAGCTGACTGACAGCATGCACACTCACACTCAGCAGTTATCGGCCTTGTGAATGACTTTGAAGCAGATAATTCTCCGTGTCTCAACAACCATTAATTACCAGCAGCTGAAAAATGCTGCAGGAGTCTGAATCAGCTCCTCTGGAAATTACAAGATACACAGCTAATAATCGCCCCCACCCACCCACCCGCACACACTAACACAAACACTCACACACACGTGCATGCATACCCACACACACACGCACACACACACACACTTAGAGACAGAGGCTGGCCTGTTTGTGTGGCGGTATCAAACGGTCACAGTCTTTTCTCAGTCAGCAGAGTGAATCTTCAGTCTCGATCAGATAACAGTGCCAGTCTGCAACTTAAAGGAGCAGTGCCACATTTAGAGTCCTCTTCTTCTTCCTCTTTCCCACAATGACAGAAAAGAAGGGATGTCAGTTTTATTTCTGAGTTTGATCTGAATTTAACCCCCAGGCCTTAAAAATTACAAGATAAAAATTGTCAATCTTCTCACTGTTTGTCTTTTTTTTTTGTATGCCATGAAAAGCATCAATATGAATTTTTAGCCTCTTTCATAAACATCAACAAACTCCTAACAGGATCATTTAAAAAAATGAAATAAAAAAATTAAAAAACACTTTTTTTTTTTTAGTTTTCCAACCTTCCCCCAAGATGGAAGGAATGACTTTAGTACATGAATTTAAGTTAAAAAAAAATGTCTTTAGGTTTTGAAGTTATTCAGTAGTTTTTGACTGTAAACTGAAATGATATGTACATCAGCTGACTTTTTTTGGTAGACCATTAGCTAGGACAATGAAACACATGGAGCAAAAGTGATGTGTACAGGTGGGGAAAAAAACTTTTTTAATTGATGACATTAACCAAATGATTTAGAGGAAAAAAAAGTGTTATGCAGCAGCCAGCCTGTGTGTGTGTTTGTGTGTCTCCCAAGCTGATAATGCAAACATTTTACCATCACAGAAATCTCTAACTGCTCAGTTGGTTTCCTGCTGAGTGTATCTTAAAGGTGTGCTCTTCACATTATCATTGCTTACAAACAAATAGTGATATGAACAGGTGATCAATCATAACTTTTTTCCAAAGGAAGAATCAGCACTTGGGAACTATTTTTAATTTCCCTGGCCACTAGGTGGCAGTATGTGAGTTAAGTTACTGACATCCCATGAAGTGACTGATGGAAAAACTAAATAATTTAAATGCATGCATCTGGATGAAAAGGGTGTTTAAAAAAAACTGTTTCTGCATTTCCTCTTTCACCACCATTTCACCGTGTTCCCTGGCTGTCCTTCAGTAGACTAGGGTGCAGCTCAGCTATTTAATCACCCGCCCTCTGTACAGCGGTGTTGGTAATCAAGATGGACAACCCAGGTTTGATTCTGACCTGACCAGACTTAGCATAAATAGTCCCATCTCATGACACAACTAGAGAGTTCCACTCAGGAGCATTTAGTAATGATTTGACACCAAGTGATACACAATAGTCAGACATTTTTCCTGCTTGAATTGATAATTTTTCCCCTTTTATGCATGAGGATGTTTTTTTTTTCATCCAGGGTAGGTTTATCGCTTTAGCCTGAGCAATAGAAATTTTGAGCTGTAAAAATCTGTTATCACAAGCCAACACCTTTGATTTTAACGACAAAGTCAGGGTGTTGGACCTGTTTCCGTTTCTGTTTCCATTTCTGCAGGGTGGAGGTAGCATTAGCGTGTTACTGCCACCTACTGCACTGTGTGTCCAAGAGAGAGCGAAACAAAAGGAGAAGAACAACTCAGCAATAAAACCAACATAAATAAATTAGCAGAAAGCAGCAACAAGAGTCACAGCAGCAGGAAACCAACTGAGCAGTTAGAGATTTCTGTGAAGATTTAAAATGGTTGTTTCACCGGCCCAGGAGACACACACACACACACACACACACACACAAACACACACACACTCACACACACAGGCTGGCCGCTGCCCTCTCTCTCCAGTCCAGCTATAAAAACCCATTAGTAATCACTCCTCGGCTCTCAGCGGCTCTTTTCGCCCAAACGACTTCCATCCAGCCAATCTGCATAAATCTGCATTAATGGACGATTCTCGCTCTGCAGAAAACAAATGTGCTTTAAAAAACGCCTCCTTATCTGTCGGCTTTTAGAGGAAACACCAGAGACACACACACACCATCTATCTGACAACACACACACACCACCACCACAGCTTCAATTAATAAAAGATTTATCATGACAGACACATCACCACAGCAGCACTCACAGAGAAAATATGAGTCTGACTGGACAAACAAATGCTGATGATTTAGATTTCTAAGAGCTTCAGCAGTGATAAAGATGGAAACGTAAAAGCTGTCCTGAGGATGGCAGTAGAGGAAAGACGTGCTCGACACTGTGTCCTCATTTGAAGACATTACATTATCAGGCTTTTCTACGACTGATAAGTCATCCTGTGTAACTTCCACTCTTTGTTTATGCCAACCGGTCCAAAAGAGGCACATGATTAACTCAGTGTAGAAAGAAGACATCAACCATGTCTGCCAGCACGGCACTGGGCTGCACCAACTGTGCATAAGTTCAAAATATAGAGTTTCACACAGTTTCTACTTTAGGACAGAGTTTGCACTCTCCGAATGTTTGAGATGCTGCGCCAGCTGAGAGAGTTTAAAGGTTATTACAACTAAAATCTTACACTTAGCACTAAGTTAGAGCTGTCGGATTTTCCCCTTCAGGATTATTGTGGCCATGAAATACTGCAATAATAATAATCATAATAATAATATTGTTTATTTATATAGCACCTTACAACATCCGAAGAGATGAACAAAGTGCTTTACAGAACAAATACATGGTTGAATATACAAATACAGAAAAAAGAAAATACATGAGAAGTGACAAATGACACAGGATATCATGAGATATAACGGAAAGGGAACATAGAAACAATTAAATATATATAATATATATATATATATCTAAATAGGTGAGTTTTAAGATGGGTTTTAAAGAGTGCCAGGTCATTAATAAAATGTAATTCAGGGGGTAGGGAGTTCCACAATATCGAGGCCGCAATAGAAAAGGCACGATCCCCCCACTGTTTAAAACTTGAAGAAGGAACCTCCAAAAGAGGCTGTTCTGAGGACCAAAGGGCTCTACAGTGTCGTCTCAGCTTTATGCAATCGGACAGATACACTGGAGCAAGACCGTGGATAGATTTAAAAACGAACATTAAAAGTTTAAAAATAATCCTGAATTTAACAAGGAGCCAATGTAGGGAGAGACGAGTGGGAGTGATGTGACTGTGAAGGGGGGTGTTGGTTAATCTATGAAAAATTTGTTCAGGCGTGGTCAACCTCTTTTTTATTTTGGTCTTGACTTCTTTGACTGAGCTTACTAACATGGTTGTGGTATGTGTGTGTGTTTTTTTTTTAAGATTGATCATGTTATGGCCCTTTGTGATTGTGATCATGTGCATATAAGATGGTGCCGGACATCGCTACCTTAGTCTGATGAAGAGCAGGTTTGCTTGAAACATCACTCAAGAGACCCCACATGCTGAGTCCTTGTGTGCAGTTGTTCTAAGACTTGGAGATTCTGCTTTTCCCAAATACCTTGGACAAAGGAATAAATTCATACCAAACAACAGCTGGGGTCAAACTCAGTTCAAAGACAAACCATTCAATCCCCCGTGTACTTTTTTTCATTCTTGACAGATTCTGAAGTAATGATGTTATTTCTGATCTGTTTCCTGACCCCTCCACAGATTAATGGACAGGAGATGGTGGGAAAATGAGTGAATATTTCTCTGCAAATGTCATGATGAGAAACAACAGCGTGACTTTCTACAAAACAAAACCGCCGTTCAGCAAGTTCAGCAAGAGTTGAGAGAAGAGCGGGGGTGCTGCGGCTGGTGGAAGTGCCAGAGCAGAGATGAAACTTCATCTTTGATCCTGATTTCAGTTCAAGGTAAAGTTGAGAAAGTTTTTCATCCCTCAGAGCTATAATATTGGTCAGGAACGTGGGCTACTCCATGAGGCAGCGTGTCCAATCAGAGTTACTGCAGCTTAGATCTCTATCATGACAACCCTGAAGTCATAGAGGAGCTACAGATCTGATCTGCTCTTATTATCAAACTCAGATTGTTTTTAACTTATAATGGAAACGAGGGGTTGTGTAGGTGAAACACTAGATATATAAAGGTGGTTGAGAAGTCATCTCTACTTGGGTTTAGTCAATATCAATTTGTCTGTTGATCATGATGATGGCTTCATTTCTTTTTTCTGCATGTTGCTTTTGTTCTAAATATTTGTCTGGGTCCGGATCATAGACTGTATTTAGAATGGACGCCGTCTGCCTCCTCGCTGGGTGAAGCCACCGCGAGAACAGCACCCTCTGGTGACAGGCTGCAGTATAGGTCATAAACACCGCCTTCTCCAGCAATCCCTATGGAGCTGTGGACAAACTTTAGAAATTTATTACAAAGGGTTAGGATATAAATTTTTTCTACCCCCTGCAATGCTACTGCGCAAGTAGTGGATCCAGGGATTGGAAAAAAATACCTGGAATACCGAAAGCAATTCAGCTTCAAATTCGTATAATGACAGGAGGCGGAGCCAAGCTGTCTGTAGTATATATACAGTCTATGGTCTGGATAGTTGGTGAAAGAAGTCACTTATGAAACTCTTTATTAAAGCTTCTTCTTCAAGTCTCTGTTAATATTTGGACAGAATCGGCAATTCCTATCATTCTCTGCTTCTCTCCGCACCTTTTTTTTTGGCACCTATTTGTAAATTAAGCACCTTATTCTGCAGGTAAATCTAACCCCTGAAACCTGTAGAACACCTAAAACCATCCCCTGATGTGCTAATAAACATTAATTAACAATCAAATCAGGTTACGACAGAAACTGTAAGGCCCCAAATATACAGTATTTCCCTCCAATGTACAAGAAACTGTCCAACTGTTCACTGCATGAATACTCCCTCCGTGTTCAGCACTGTGCTATTTTTATGGAGACGTGTGGCTTTTTCTGGTTCACTCTGTTATCACCTCTCTGCATGATATCTGGGCTGTAATTAAGCTAAGTACAGTGGTGCTAATCATTGTTACAGGCTTACCAATTCACTTGCATCTCTATCAAACCTGCGCTTGAAAAGGTTTATTTACATGATTAAAAAAAAAAAAAAAAATATTATTAAACCTAGTGAGGCAAAAAGCATTAATTAGTGGATCTGCAAGACTTGGAGGTCCTACTTTATGTCCAGCATGCTTTGTGCATTGAAACAGCCATTTCCAGCACCATCTAAATCCATGCCAAACAGCCTATTAAGTGGAGAGCCATGAGTATGTACATATACCTAACACGCTAAAAGATGTCATTATATGTAATTTGTGGCATGAAAAGACAAAGCTAACAGCAGCAACTCACGAAGTCTGTGTGGATGTCATGACGACGTGCTGCCAGTCTGAAACAACCCTCACACTACAAATTCAAAATGCTTTATTCTGAATGCCAATAACAAAGTAAGGTTGACTTTTATTCAACTGTTATAGCTTAGATTTCCATAAAACTCACCAATAATGTTCATGTTTCTCAGATAAACCTGTGTTATTCCATTAAGACAGTCAAAGCATGATCTTTTAAGAGCTAAAATCAGATCAAGTTAGGCTGATCCATGCTGCAGACATCAGATGAGTAAAGGAAAAACAAAACTTTACTTTTTCCTGCTCTGCTGCTAAACCTCCACACTCTGAGAACAATCCCTGCTCTGTGTTGCGGCTCCTTTAAATAGAGACCCTGACCTGGAAGAGCGGCAGGGAAACAGAAGGATGATGGATGGATGTGAGAACTTGAGAGAGTGAATGTTTTTTAATTTGGTTTTGTTTACCGGCTCTGCAGAGTGAAATATAACCGATAACTAAACAAACTGTAATACAATGCACACACGCACTCACACACACACACTCACATATATACACATATTCCTTTAACCATTAACACATTCTCCGACAACAAGCCCACAGCCCATCAATCACACACACCCACACCCACACACACACTGCCTGCTGCATGGCTGAGTTTCAATCAGACGCCAAGAATCACATCAGCATTCACAACAAACACACACACACACACACACACACACACACACACACACACACACACACACACACACACACACACACACACACACACACACACACACACACACACACACACACACACACACACACACACACACACACACACACACACACACAGAGAGCAGCAGATTGGTTCTACTTCTCCATGGTTGGAGACATTTAAAGCTGTGATCTGTAACTTTGCTCACGTTCAGACTGCAGTACAAATATTGAGTAATTCAGAGCACCTCTGACGTACTTTAGTAGTTCTTTATTTAAGCAGTTGTACAGCTACGAAGTTTGTCAAGTGTGATGCTGTAGGTTATAAGTTGAAATGCTGCTAACATGAAAGGTATTTTTTTTCACATTGTAATCCCTCAGGAGTTTCCTGAGAGGTGCACCACTGAGGTTACTCCAGGTAAGTCCGTTTTTAAACCGCCGGGTGCAAAAAGGATCAGAAGAAAGTAGAGAAAACTGAACGAATGTTACTCACTTTATCAGAAGTTAAAAAGCAGGAATACCCATCAGTCATTGCAGCCCTGCACCCTTAAGAGTAATAAGTTAATATAGATTTTATGCACCACCTTTTTTATTACAGACGTGGTGTAATTATAACACCTTCTTGATGAATGAGACCATAAGAGTTGAGTCAAATGTAAATTAAATACAGAATCTGATGATCCCTGAAAAAGTCTTTGTCTGGATGTCAGCATATGTTACTCCTAAACCTGGAGATATTGTTCAGCATTGATGGAAACTTTACAGATGTGGAAACTACCCAAGACACAGACACTGATGATCCCCACACCATCAGGGATGCTGGCTTTGACCTGAGAGCTGATAAGCAGGGTGGTCTCTCTACAGTCAAATTTTGAATTGAAACTTTTTACTTCAGTCTCGGGTGGGTTCAGGCCCAGTGAGGTGGCCAGCCTTTCTTGACCTGATAATTTCATAGTCTTTATTTTCTTTTGATGAGCTTTAATCTCATCAGATTCCTCTTGAAGAACTGGGCCATGTCTGGACCACCAAACCAGCTCCCTGTTCCTAATTATTATTATGTTGTTGTTGTTTATGAAAATACTGTTTACCTGTCTCTCTCTCTCTCTCTCTTCTCCGTCTTCAGGCGGTCTTCCCCTCCAGCAGCTCTCGGGTGTTTTCGGCGGCCCGCGCCAAACCGTCAGCCATCAACGCCTCCTCCAGACTCCTCCTGGCCTGGTATACCTTCATCTCCTGCTCCCTGCAGACACATTTACAACAATACTTTTACATAATGATGCACAAAAAAGCTGTTATATTGTCAGTCCATGGATGTTTTTATTTGTGCTCATATTGTTTTGCTTGTTTTTGTTGTTGATTAAACTGTCGATCCAACTCCTTGACCTCAAATTGACCATAAATAACAAAGAAGATACACCGACACCATCTCTTCAGAGGAGACATCTATGTTTTTTTCTGCTGTCACAAACACAGTGGAGATGTCCGCCTCCTTTTCTTAAACCAACACAGTAATAAAAAGAAGGAGACAGGCCGTGGGCCGTCATCTGAGACCGAATCTGTATTAAAAAAAAAAACAGCAGGGAAAATGCAACGAGGCAAAGTCACACAGTATTTAATCAGAATCAGAATGAAAGTGAACTTTATGAGATGGTTGGTAATTGGTACAAACATTTAAATCTGTGAGATGAAAACTTCGACACTCTTTTCAAACACCAGAGGGTGCTGTCTCTCCTTGACTCCTCATCATTACATCTCTAATGTCTCTCTCTAAGTTGAAGGGATGCAGCAGCACGTTTCTCTTGATGATGATGGTTCTGGCTGTTCAGATCGTCTGCCCTCGTCTTCCGACATAAAAAGCTTGAGTGTACTTAAATATAGCTAAGAGGAAATGTTGCAAATCAAGGTGAAAGAAGTAAAAATATATGATGAGAGGGGGAGGCATTTATGTTTTAAGCAGGTGAGGAGGAATAAGAAGAGGGAAGGTGAAGAGGAGGAGGAGGTGGGGGAGGAATGAGAGCCATTTAGGATGACAAGCACATTCAGCCGGAGAGAGGGAGAGAGGGGAAGAGGAAGAGAATTGGAAATTAATGGAGGAGAGAGATAAGAAAAGGGGGAGGAGGAGGAAGGCTGGAGGGAGGGAGGAGATATAAGAGGAGGTAAGATAGAGGGAGGAAAGGGAAGTTGAGGAGGAGGAGGGGGTATAAAAAGATAGAGATGGAAAACAAAGAAGGGAGAAAGAAGACAAAAATGCAATATTTGTAGGATGGAGTCATGAAGAAAGGGTGGAGGAAGGATGAAAAGGGGCAAAGAAATGTGGAGCGGAAGAAGATAAGGAAGCTAAACAGAGCAAAGGAAATAAGGGAAGGAAAGATATAATGGAAGACAGGTGGGGAGGAGAAAATAGGAATATAGAAAAGCGAGGAAAAAAGAAAAGGGAGGAAGGGCAGAAAAAAGGAGTACAGAAAAGAAGGGGAAATGGAGGGATAAAGGAAGGATGGAAGAAAGGGGGAGAAAGGAAGGGTGGAAAAGAGAAAAACTGAGAAAAAAGATGAAAGAGGAAGAATAAATAAAGAAAAAGGAAGTACATTAAGAAAAGACAGAAGAGAAAGACAGTGATGAAGAAAGTATAGAAAGAGATTTAAAAAAGAAGGAAAAAGAGAAGGAAATAACGGGAACATGGAAGAAGAAGGAAAGGAAGAAAGGGAAGAAAAGAAGAAGAAACAAGGAAGACAGGAAGGAAGGAGGAAAGGAAAAAAGATGTAAGGAAAGTGAGGGCAGAAGGATGGAAAAAGATAAGGAAAAGGAGAGGAGAGAAGAGAAAGAAAAGAGGAAATGGCAAGAAAGAATGGAGAAAGGAGTGAAATTTGGAAGAAGTAATGGAAGGAACGACAAATAAAAAAAGGAAGACAGAGCGAAAAAGGACATAGGGAAGAAAGGGAGGAGATGAAATGTTGGGTGAGGAAAAAGATGGAAGAAGGAAGAAAGACAGAAAGAGTGCAGAAAAGGAAAGGTGAAGAGAAGGAAAAGTATGGAAAGAGAAAAAAGAAAGAAAGGCTGATGGCAGAAAAGGAGACAATCAGGTGAACAGAAGGAGTAAAAGAAAAGGGAAAAAGGAAATAGAGAAAGAAGATTAGAGGATGTTGAACAAGGAAAAGAAGAAACGAACAAACACAAAAAAGAACATTAAAGGTATAAAAGAAGGCGGGTGGGAACAAGATGAAGAAATGGAAGGACAGAAATGAGGGGATAATCAAATAGGGAAAGAAAGAATATGAAAAGAAGAGATTTTACCAAGAGAGTGTAAGATGGTAAAAGAGAGAAGGTAAAAGAAAAGGAGAAAGGAGAGGAGGAAACAGATTTATGGTGTAGAAAGACAGGAGGAAGGTAAGGCAAGGAAGGAGGGAAGGAATCATTTATTGTAAGGAAAGGGTAAAGGAGAGGAGAGGATGAGGTGATGGATTCCAGTGATTCCACTGTAATGGCTTCAGCCAGCTGTTCTCTGCTACTGGACACACACACACACACACACACACACACACACACACACACACACACACACACACACACACACACACACACACACACACACACACACACACTGAGTCAGTCTGTCAGTCAGAGTTAGTCCACAGTGCCCCCTGCTGTCACACCGCAGTAATTGTCTCTGTGAACTGATGTGGAGAATTAATCTGCCTCTTTACGTTTAACATCATTAAACTCCTTTCCTCCTCTGTCCATCATCCCTCACTCTGTGCGTCTCACCTCCTTTGTGCCCTCACTTCATTATCTGACAAATTTAGAGGAAAAGCAGAGGGAGATAATCCATCACATCTAAAATTACAGCCAGGCTTTTGTTACAGGCTGATGCAGAAAAGAGCAGAGAAATCTCAAACTCTGAATGGTGCATCCAAGGATCCTGGAGCATCTGAGCACATGAGGAAAAAAGACAGCATGGCTTTTACGCACTTGTCATGAAAATTATGGTGGCCTAACACTTTTTTATAATGTGTGATGTTGTTTTGAGAGTGCTTGATATCATGAACTATGAAAGGGCTATTTGGGAATACTGTTTTTTCTGCATTTGTACTTTTCCTGTGACGATTCAGCATAAGACTGGTCTAAATATGCCAACCTGAAGACATCCCTGCTGTCAGCTTAGTAGGCAATGTATTTATCTTCTTCCATTTAGTTTGATTCACATTTCTGTGGTGATTCTCACACCCCTAAACAGGGCCCAGTTGGCTTTTGTGATGTGCAAAAGGGGACGAAATAGCATGTGATAATACAATATTTATGCATCGATTTCTGACCTTCGCACTCAATATCTCTAGAGCCCCAGCCTTTATTCTGCTAGCATACTCACAGAGAGCGTGGATACAGTGAACCTGTCTCATGGCCCCTTTTCTCAAACACAATAAGCATAAACACCCTCAGATAGTGTCTGCTGTTTGCCAAATCTTCAGTCTCCCTTGTAAAGCAAGTCCTTGTTCTGTGAGTTGTTCTCAGATTAAGATATTGTTGGTTGTTTTGGTTTTTGTTTTGCAATGAATCTAAACTCTTTAAATGTTTCTCTGGTCTTCTGTTTCCTGCAAGTCAGAGAACAAATACGAAGATAAAAGACAGAGGCATTTCTAAATAATTCACCCCTAAAAGACAGATCCTTCCTACTCTTTCATCTTCAGAGTGCAATACACCGGAGGTCGGAAAAGTAAAGCCGAAAATGAAGCCAGGAGTGATGACGCCGGTGTTACATTTTAAAAGAGCTGGGCACAAATGAGAAGTGTTAATTAATTATTAGCTGACACCATAAAAAACCTCTGATAAGTCCTCTGGCTAAAGAGCAGCGGTTACAGCCACATTACTCTGCATGGCTGATCATCCCTGAGAGTCATTATTGTCATAAAACTGGCACCATTAAACCTGCACATCAATGAATGCACAGCTAGCACTGGCTTCTTTTCGAAAGGAGCACACCAGGAAAACTGATATAGAAGTATCACCTTCACAACAAGAGCACGCCACTGAGAAGGAGAGATCTAGCCTTTAGCTGCTCCTTTTTGTGAAGATATCCTGGATGTTAGCCACAGGAGTGGAAGCGCTTTTCAGGGACTGTTTGTGGCATGTTGTAGGTGCTTTGCAAAGAATGCAGAGACAGTAGAAACCACTATCAGACTTAAAGACAGTAATACCTGATGTGCTCGTCAGTGACGGTGAAGGCCTTGCAGAGCGGCTGGGACGTGTTGAGCCAGATGGCCGGGTTCTTCTCTGCAGCCACAGACGTCTGCCCTGTGATAGGAGCTGAACTCATGTGCAGAGCGCTGGCGATGGCTGACAGCAGAGTGTCCTCGCTGGAGTCTGGACCAACACCTGCAGAGAGAAGTCAGAGGTCACAAAGGTCAGAGGGGCCGTTTGAGGTTGGTGTGTTCAGATCATGACCATTGACTGTATATAGAACGGACAGAGTCTGGGTGAAGCCACTCGGAGAACAGCACACCCTGGTGACGGGCTGCAGTAAAGGTCATAAATCCAACCCCCGCCAGCCATCCTTATGGAGCAGTGGACAAACTTTAGAAATTTATTCCACAGAATATAAATTTTTCTCCCCCCTGCTTGCAATGTTGACATGTAGTTACTCTAAGACTGTTTTTTGCTGAAATCCTCTTTTTTCTGTACAGCTCCATTTTTAAAAGTTATAAGGGGGTTCATGTTTTCTATGATTGACACTTGATACAGCCTATGGGCGTACGAAGATTGTGTAGCTCACCCGGGGATACGCTGTTTGAGCCGAGTGTCATCACAGCAACTCTTGGCGATTCTCCCGCTGAATGTGTACAATGCTGCTAAGCAATGTTGGTGGAGATAAAACGGGGGAAATAAAAACGGGGAAATAAAAAAAGCTTTTTGGCTTCAAATCCGTAAACTGGTGGCAGGCAGAACCAAGTTGTCCATAGTATATACAGTCTTTAATTATGACCCATCAGCCGTTGTCTGGTAATAGGATATGTCTCTGAGAATGACTGGCTCACAAGGAATGGGAATCGAAAACCAATCCCAGATTGAAAGCCGGTTCCAACTATTTCAAGCCTGCAACATTTGGATTTATGCTTAACGGTTCCGTGATTGATGCCTTTTACTGAGTACTGCTTACCTAGCAAACAAAATCACAGCACATTGTAACGGAGTCTCTTAATTCTCAGAAAGTACATATCTTTTATATCAAACACAAGTTATTATCTTGCACGTACAAGATCATGATACTGTACACAAGATTTACTTTGTTAAATGTGCAACATAATTATCTTGTGCCCATAGCAGAACAATCTTGTGAGCACAAGATAATGTTCTTGTGCATGAAAGTTATTAATGTGTGTGCTCTGAATATTCATCATGTGTAAGATGATCATCTTGTACAAAAAAGTCACTAATACAGTCATCTTGTGTGCAAAATGTGTGTGTGTGTGTAACATAGTCCTTAATGTGCACAAAAATAGTATCTTATACAAATTAGATTTTAACTTGTGTGCACACTATAATTGTGTACAATCACTTTTTTGCACAGGTTCTAAAGTTCAAAAATGCTGTAATATTAAACTAAATGTTGTTTTGCTCACAATATCAGCTCAAAAATCAGAGCAGTACTTTTTGTAAAAATGGACTCTCAGAGAAAATGACAGCTATCAGGGATAAACTCTTTCGTGTTTCTGTGAAGTGTGAGGCCTTTCTTTCCCCCTGATCAGTGTATTTACAAAATGTCTGGATCCAGACTCTCAAAATTGAAGGTAATGGCAAGTTGTGAATTACTTTTAGAGATAACTGCTGTTAGCCGGCTGTCAATAGAAGACTGCTATCTTTGTTTTGGCTTAGCATCCAATATGAGGCTGTATCTGTGATCAGCTGATCTGTAAAATGCCCAAACAAGAGTGAGGCTTCCTTATTTCAGCAGAGTGAGAAGAGAAAGTCATAAAACTCTGACTAAAAATGATGTAGTTGGCAGAAAACCTGTAAGAGCTTATGGAAAACCAACAAGAATTGATTATTAAATCAATAAAGAAACTTATCAGCGCCCATCCCTACAGCCATCTCCTCAGTATTGCTCTTGCAGTTCAAAGTTGGTTATAAAAAACATTCATTTCCTGTGTGCTGTAGTGTTGACAGTCCAATAATCACTTGAGCAGTGCAACGAGGTGAAGTGAAATTTGTTTCCTCAGATATGTCTGAAATATAAACACTGTTACTTCTTAGTTCATCACGTCCCCACAGAGGTGAACTTGTTCACCTGTCTCTGCGCTCCAAGTTTCAATGTAAATGTAAGTTACACAAAGGCTTCACTTCAGCTCACTTCAGTGACACAAACCTGAAAAAGAAACTAATTCCTGTGATTTATTTACAAGAACATCATCTCTGATGAATTCAGGGAGGTAGAAAAATCCAAAATTATAACATCTTTAGTGACGCAGCTTCAAACGGATTTCTCCTTCAGAATAAAATGATGATCTTGAGCAGGATACTAGTTGCGCTTTCATGCAGATATCAATTAATAGTAAAAATTAGATTTAGATTTACTACTGGTTGGAGGTGTGTTGCCATTACCGTAGAGTGCTAACTGCCTGATTTTGCTCTCCATACTGGCTGTTTTCTTGCATGCACCAAAACTCCTACGATTAGTCAATGGTCAATACCACTCAAGGCTACAAACAAACCACAACTAGAAACCAGAACACCTCCCACAACCTAGCCAGGTCCCAAATCTTTAAGAAGTTTGGTTGGAGACTTACTCTGCAGTCCTTTGGGCAGATCCATCGACCGCAGGACTTCTTCTGTGACGTCTGATGAACGGAGACCTTTTAACCTTCTCTCCCAGAACAGCTGCAGACACACACACACACACACACATAGACAGACTGTGTAATCTCAGCTTTATTGTGTTCAGATCTGTTCTAAACTGGATTCTGCCGCAGTCTTAAGATACTGTAAAACCAATTTCATCACACTGCTGCTACCTCACATCCCGAGTATGCCAGTGACAACCATTTGAAGGCTTTTACAGTGAAGGAGCTCCATGAAGTGCAGCTTTATCCACCAAGGTCTCAAATTAGAGCTCAACTTACTGCCAATATAGTAGCTTTACACCCAATAAAATTCATAAATGCTGTACAGGATTTATAGCATCTACACATCTACAAACATGCAGGAAATGCTGGATTATTGATTCGTTTGGAGCTGAACTTGTGCTTCTTCCTGCCTGCTGTTTGTAGGACTCTGCCTCTCCTGCCTTCAGCCACCATCGCTAATTCCTGCGTTCAGGGGTCGGCAAACAGTAAAGTTTGATACAGACACTCTTTCTGCAGGTCATAGACACTATAGGAGTCACAGTTTACCTCCCATGAGGCCACAGCGCTCTCTAGTGGCTGCAGTCACCATGACAACAAGCTCTCCTCCATCATCTCATGCTTAATAACCCTGACCTTGCCCTCAAATATTACCATGGAGACATCAATGTGTGTGTGTGTGTGTGTGTGTGTGTGTGTGTGTGTGTGTGTGTGTGTGAGAGAGAGAGTGTCTTACCTGTCTGGGCTGCTCAGCCCCTCTCTGCAGATCTGTCTTCACCTTGTTGCCCGGGTGACTTGTAACCTTGGTAACGGGCTGTTTGAAGATGGAGGCCGTCTGTCTGATGGGCAGAGCTGTGTTCAGATCCGGTTTACCTCCCTAGAAAAGACAGAGATGAGTCAGTGTACGTGTGATGTGACTCCTTCACTGCACCCCTTCCTTCTTTCCTAATCCCCTTTCCTCCTTTCTCTCCTATCTTCCTTCTCTTTTTCCTGTCCTCCTTCTTTCCTTTCTTCCTGTTCTGGTTTACCTTCCCAAGACAGAGTGAGATGATGAACTTGGGTGTGTTTATAAGTGTGTACACGTATATGTGTGCATGTGTGTGTGACAGTTGAGCTTTAAGGGTTAACTCCCAGCTGAGGTCTCACGGATAACAACAGGAAGTGTGTGTGTGCGTGTTTGTGTGTGTGCATGAGGCAGTGTGTATGTTCTCCTAGGTAATGATGTGTGAAGAGCAGCAGCAGAGAGTTACAAACCATGTCAATACACCACCCCCACACATACACAAAGACACAAAAACACACACACACACACGCACACAATAACATTATTTCTGCGTTGCTGAAGGATGTTGAGGTTTGGTTTGTCACATTTGAAACAACACACCTCACCCCTGCAGCTGTGGAGGAGCTAAAGATGGGAGGTTTAACATGCCCTGGCCTAGCAAAAGAAACCACAACGCTATAAATACTGACAGTAAATTGTACTTTAAGAGCCAAGGTGTGTGCAAAAGTGATCTGGCAGGTGGAGCTGTTAGACTGATGTTGACCCCTCCTGCTTACGAAAACATACTGAAATGATTTGATTAAGTGATTAATTGATCCTGATCAAGTGAAGTCTTAAGAGATGTAAGACTCAAGGTATAGACTACATTAGACTAGGACCAAGTAGTGAAGTACGATATAGAATATAGTAGAGTTCAACAAGAAGAATAGCATAAAATAGAATTGTATAGATAATATTTTATTTTTAAGTAGACTGTGGATTTTTATTTTTACTTTTTTGATCATTTCTTCATGGAAATGCAATCAGACCAAGACGCTACGGCAGAAGAACTACCGCGTCTGCAGTGCAAAATGATTAATATGGTGATTATTACTTCAAGAAAATGATAAAGTAATGATCATAAATGTTCTTCCTTGAGCTGCGTCACCTCGCAGCAGTCCGTAATGGACTAGTCCAAGGTCTAGCTACAAACAAGTGGCTGCTGGAAGAGAGTAGGTGAGTTGTGTTTAGTCTCTTTGCTAAAGAAATTAGGCAAAGTTAAAAAGATGTTTGGTGACTAGTGCCGTGGCTTGGACCCTATATGTACTGTTGATAAAGTTAGGTACTGTTCTGATCATTATTTGTAGCTACAGAGTGGCTTTTTGGTTGAGGTTTGTTTATGGCTCCTCAGACCACTGTGTATTGCTATTGTGCAGTCAATACTAAAGTTGGTTTAACTAGAGAAACAAGCGGTCTGCAACATTCATCTCACGAGGGGGTGTCTAACTCTGTGTTACAATGTGTTTGACACTAAATTATTTTTACACCGGAATATCCCTTTAAGGGGGGATCAATAAATTCTTCTTCATCTTCTTCTTCTTCTATTAAGTATCAGAAATCCTAGATTTATGTGTTTTTGCTCACGTTCACTTCCGATTAGGGTTCAAAACTGTGTGTGTAATACATGTGAATTCAAGCAGTCTATATCATCCTAAAATAAACACTGTAATAGATGATAAAGTGGGCTGCATTGGATGTGAAGTTTTTTTTTACCCTGAAGATGGCGCTCCTAGAACAAACAGTCACTTATTTTGGGACACAGTTGCATGTTACTCATGCTGGCAGTGTCACCTTTTGGGCATCCTCCTTCTTACCACCTAATCATGCATTTTTAGGAAATTATAGTACATTAATGAACTTGTGGAGAGCTAGTGTGATTAAAAGGACTCCTCACTTTAAAGCAACAACCAACTTAAGCTACCATAATGTTCTAAAATTTTCAGGAGCTCTGCCCTTAACATCTATCAGAGTTCAGTTTCCAAATTAGTTTCCTGGTTTTATGGTCCAATAGCTGATAGCAAAGTGATTCTGCTTTCATAAACATGCAACTTTGACCTGTAGGTTTATGATCAAGTTTTTATCCCATTATGGGATATGAAGTATAAAAGGGAGCATCTGATAGTGCACTGCCTCCAAAATACAGAGACAGAAAGTCATAATACAGTATAAATATCAAGCCTCAGTCCTTTTGCAATCTGTAGATCATAAAGACTTTATACATATCCACTCAAACTTTACATTGTTGTTCCAGAGGTGATAAGACCATGTGTGTTGTTTATCCTGCTTCACATTTCTCAGATAAAGCTGTACGAAAAAAAGAGGAAGTGCTCTGGACCTTCTGTCAGGTTACTTCAGGTCATGATGACCAGATGAGAATTCCTTCCTCATGGCTGAACTTCCTCCTCTTTCCTTCAGTCCTTACTTTCACTAAAAAGGATGTTGATCCTCATTTGAACTTTCCACTTGTCCTAAGATAAAACTGTTTCCGACTCTGAGGAGTTTCTTCACCTTAACTGTGCTGTGAGGGGAGGAGACAGAGCGGCTGTTATCTCCATTTAAAACACACTACATCACAAACACACACATACACAGAAATAAACACACATCGAGAACGCTCTGACCTACTATAGAAACTAGCAAGAAAATCCTGGTGTCTGATTGGCTGTTAGGTGTCTGTTGCAGTTCTGTTCAATCAGTTTTAAATCAGAATTGGGTAAGGAATATCTAATGAAATTAAAAAAAACTTAAAATATGTATTTTATGAATTTTTCTCTTGATCTCATTCCAGCTTTACATCCATATACAGCTGTTTCACTTATGCACTCACTTTGCAAGTGTCAACATAAATCAGCTCATCTTCTACCATCAGTAGTCTTGACTGAGGTTTTGTTAGTCCTGAGAGGTATGAAAAGTAGGGAGCTGTGCTGTCACGCATTTTGCACCCCAGGTAGTTGTCAGGAGTTTTACATGAAGTGCACCTGCAGTCCCTCTGACGATGTGGTTGTATGGAGGATCTGCACTTTGAAAATCAGCTGTTTTGCGTTTGAGTGATGATACACTCTTTCTGTGCTGTGTTCTTGAATGACTAAGACTACAGCTGTTGAACGTTGTAGAACAGAAAAAGGGTGAGTAAGCTGGAGAGTCTCATTTTTTTAGCAGTCAGTGAAGCCCACGCCGGTTGTCTATACAAACTCTGCAGTGCATGTAACACACTCCGTATTAACAGCCCGCTTTCCTCTGATGTAAAACACGCAGAGTATTAGTTATCATGTCTGATGTCAGCTTGGCTGGTGATTTGAATAACATGTACATCTGCTCTGCCATGTGCATCAATGTACAGAACACACTGTCCCCCCTGAAGGGAAGACGCTCATCATTTCTCATGCTGTGGGAATGCTTCAGCAGCTTCCAGCCAATCTGAGTAGATACCAGAAGTAAACAAAATGCCAATACTGCAGTGGTGTCTATCCGAAACATCCACACATTTTAATGCACTCTGCTGTAAAAAGTTATTAATATTCCACTTTTGCCTTGTCTCTTTACTTACTCGACTTTACTCATAACTATGTAGGTGGCCTGAGGAAAAGCCTGTGGGGTTTCAGCTGCTCTATCAATTGTGATAAACTTATTATTTATTGGACTTTGTTTTCAAGTACGATTACAGCCCCTCATGATCATAAAAATATGATAATGGAGACTATGCGTCGAGTGAAGAGCACCCTTTCTCTCTTTCTTAACAGCAGAGCGTGGGCACGGCCCCTCCCCTCAAACTGCTCTCACTTTCACAACATTATAAGTGGCTGTAAAATGAAGTTTGGGAGCATGAGGAAGCTTTCTCTCAAATTAATCTTCAACACCTTGCACAACAGCGGGACAAACTATCAGGCAACCACAGGTGGAGAGAGGAGATCAGGGAGAGGAGCAGGAGGAGGCAGGTGTGTGTGTATCTGTGTGTGTCTGAAAAGCAGAGGGACAGAAAGAGCAGGACGAGAGAGAGAGAGAGAGGCTAGCAATCACAAGCACTAACGAGCTAAAAGGTGAGAGTCATTATCCAGAGTCGTAATAAAATACAAGCCAAGTGTTTACGTTATAAAGGACCTTAAAGGCTTGAAAAGACAAAATGATTTGTTCGATCTGCAGCCTGTGATCAAATCTAAGTGTTAAAATATTTTACAAGTAAAATCTGGAATTTAATTTCTTGAGTTTTATAACCAAAATGAAGCCAAAGCTCCTAAAATGAAGAAACGATATATGGTTTCTTTTAGGAGTTTTTCATCTGACTTTTTTCAAAGCCTTACAAAGATTAAGTTTTGTTTTATTTTATTTCATTTATTTTTTATCACTTACTGTGTTTTTCAAAGAATTAAGAGCACGGCTTGACACTAACTTTTTTCAACTTAGAAGCACATGTGCACCTAAGTTGAAAAAGTAAGGACCACACAAAGAACTTTAGGGGCACAATGAAAATTGATCAAATAATGTTTGTCTTATTGGTCGACATAAGTACTATTATTTGAAATTAATTTTAGGTCTTTTGGTCACTTGACATGGAAGCTATTGAAGGAAATGTTCAAAATTTGCCTTTAAATTTAACACAAAAAATGTTTAGAGGACAAATTAGGTGTGTCTACTGTCCGACCTTAGTATTGTTATTTGAAATCAATTTTTGGTCAATTGGTCACATGACATGGAAACTATTGAAGGAAAACAGCTTTTTTTGGAGAACATCAACAGGTAATTTATTGATGGTCCCTTATTTAACACTGGACGTTGAGAGCGAGGATGCAGAGTGGATTTAACTGCGCTGCTGTTGCTATTCCCGGTTATGGAGCGTGAGAAGACACCACTAGATCCTGATGAATGTCCGTCGAATATACAACCTACTTCACTGCAGTATTTACATGTTTACATGAAACGGTCGCACTGTCAAGCTTTTGACAGAGTAATTAGAGCAGAGATAGACGGCCAAATACATGTTTTGTTCATGTGCGCACACATACTTGATGCCACCCCTGCATAAGTCAGTGTCCCAGTAAGACCAGTTAATGACGCCTGCTCACACCCTCGGTGCTGGGACTAAGACTTGTCTAACAGGACTGAACAGGTCTAAGCTGAGACAACAATAGTATGAGAAAAATCAAAGCCACATCATTTTACAAGACAAGTAGAAGTCTGCGTCCAACACCAACAAGTCTTAATCAAGACACTGTTCTGAGAAAGTCATCAGACATTAAAGAAAGTCACAGAGACTGAAGTGGCGTTTCAGTCAGCCATGTTCAATAATTCCAGCGTAGCATGAACAAAGAGAGAAAGCTCATCTGTCAGCGGCTGCTGTTTCCCTCTCAGATTAAACTCTGACTCTTTGCTGAATGAACCGTGACCTGCTGACCTGTGAACTTGCTGCTTAAAGAGCAGTGTTAATCCCATAATCTTCTCATGCACATCACAACCCCAGCATAGCCATAAGCCCCGCCCCCTCAGGTGTGATGCAGCAGTGATACCTTGGCCAGGTTGAGCTGGTCATTTCGAAGTCTCTGCTTGTTCTTCTGCATCTTCCCCGGCATCATCTTCCCCGTTCGAAAGTCGAAACATCCCAGATCCACCTTGTTTCCAAGGTAACGGGACAGCTGAGGTTTACTTCGAAACTTCTTACCTGAGGGACTGAAAGATGGAGAGAGTAGAGAGATTAATTTTACATCCACCTAAACCCACTTTTTATAATAAATGAAATGAAGTGTCCTTTAACAATTATATTTTTGGATTAGATAAAAAAAACTTCAAGCACTCCTTTTTGACTTCCACTCAAAAAACACGTTAATATTTTTTCAATAACTTTTTAGTCCAGAGAACCGTTACAGTTTCCCTCCTGAACACCGACGTCACAGCGCTGCACACCACGTATGTGTGAACCTTAGTCTCTGAGGGAGTGTAGGGGGTGCAGTGGTTACAACGCATTAACCATCTCCCTCTTCTTATTAAGCCTTGAGTGACGCATTATAACAAGAAAGCCTCCATTTCTTACAAAAACAACGGCTCCATTCTGATCAATAACGACCCCTGGTCCCTGCACTGTCTGCTCGTTTGTAAGAGACTTTATCCCCCGTCTCATATTTTTCATCTGTGGGTCTGAGCTGCTTATGCAGTGCCCTCTTTAACGTCTCTGAACATTCAGCTTCTGTGAAAGCTTTTCCAGAGGCATAGTGACTTATCAACTAGTACAGAGGGAAAGTCAGGATTTTGCCTAAAACTAGTTGAAGTGGGCAATAATTGTGAACACTGTGCATACAGTTTTTAGCCTTGAGGGCCCAGTCTAGGGCAGTCTGCCAGTCACATTTACTGTCCCATTTCACCTTAAGGATAATGTCTGTGAGAGCCTGATTGTGTTTCTCCATCAGTCCGTTGCTCCAGGGACTGTATCCCGCTGTTCTTCTTATCTCGGTGTTGAAATTCTCCACCATATTGTCGCTAAAGAGACGCCACAGAGGTCCATGAACACTTATCCGTGTCTGAATGAAGGAGTCGACTATTTCAGAGGAATTCTTCATTTTCACTTAAGCGAGTGAACTGGTTGATGATATGTATCATACGTTTAGCTCCAGCTCATGCAGGTCCACTGCCACAGTATCATCATACCCCAAAGCTAGGGGCAGAACAACAGCTGGCTTCTGCTTAGTTTTGCTGTATCTCTGACATATGTCACAGTCATGTACTATCTGTTGCAGAACAGTAAGGCAGCTCTAGTCTTCTGCAGCCTGTTTGCTAATGCATGGCCAAACTGTTTGTAAAGCTTAAGCTTTGTGCTTTTCATCTGGGGACATATTTCCTCTTACTAACAGGACCTCTTCTTCGGCTGTTGGTGTGAATATCACATCTTTAATTTGGCCCCTTTTGTTTGTCTCTTATGTCCACACAGTAGTGACCTGAGTGAGTGAACTCCAAGGGTACTGGTTGTTTAAACATCACTGCTTTGTCGTCTTCCATATCTAGAACAGCTCCTGCTCTCTTGAGGGATGTTTTACTCAGCAAGTTTCACTGTTACTGTGCAGGTACATTCAGTGTCTATGATGGCTGACCCAAGGGATTCAGTAGGAAAGATCTCAAGAGTCAGGCATGGGATCCTCTGCCAACAATGTGATGTTAACTTTATCCACACTTTCGTCTTCAGTTAATCTTGTTTGTTCAGTTTGTGAAGGAAGTCCTTCGCCCAATGAATTGTGCTTTGACACACAGCACCTCTCAACCGCTTGCCAAACTTATAAAATGGATTGTTGCGCGATAACGGTGTCCTCTGTTGACCACTTTTGAATGTTTGATGAACCTGATGTTTTCCCTCCAAAAATCTGTTTCAGTGCAGACTTCACTGATGAGTAATTTAACTTTGTGCATGCTGTCAGTGCAAGCTGTCTGTTTTTCTCATCGAGACAGGTTGTTTGTAACAATTTAAAGGCTAACATGGCATCAGAAAGCGTCATTTCATACTTTTTCATCAAGTCAAAACGCTGCTTAAAGTCAATGATGTAATTTTTATGGGATGAAAGTAGAAACTATAGATGATAAGTCATGGTCATGAAATGTTAAATTGAAATTAGAGGTTAAAAGTCATGATTATGAGATGAAAAGTTGAAAAGGTAGGATAGAAAACATCATTTTTTTAAAAATGAAAGGTAAAAATAATGAAATGAAAAGTACTGATTATGTCATGAAAAGCTGATATTATTGGATGAAAGTTAATATCATGAGACGAAAAGCTGAAATCATGAGATAAATTTAATTGTGAGGAGTAAAGTCAAAATCTTGAGATGAAGAGCCAATTATATGAGATAAAAATTGATATTTTTAGGTCAAACCTATAATATTATAAAATACTATTTTGTTAGGATTTTGACTTCTACCTTGTATGACTTTTCATCTCATAGTTTTTCCTTTTTTCTCTCCATGATAACTAAATATTTAGGATTTTGTTTTTGGCGGAAATGGGCTTCCCTCTCACAATGCATCACATCATGTTTCGCAATGCACGCTGACCTAAGTGAAAGACATTTATAAGGAAACTGTTACTCATAAAGGCAAATCATATCTTTGCTCAAACTAGTTGGAAACAGCTCAGCTCAGTCAGTATAAGGGTCAGAAATGTGATTTTGGTAGGATAAAAGGTCTCTAGAAAGGAGATAATTTTCTTCATATTTATGAGTTTTATTCATATTACTGCACAGGGGGATCAATAAAGGATCTATTTAGAGTGTAATCCAGTCTGGGTGCTTTTCTACAGCAGCTAAAAAAAGCAACTTTGACTGCAAACTGCAGAAGTGTGTCAGCCAGGTCAGTCCAGGATTAGACACCTCAGAGGTGCACCAGCACTCCCAACTCTTTTATCGGTCCCTCTGAAGGTCTGTAAGTGTTACTGGTCCTCACAAAGACAGAGGCACGAGGGCAGACACACAGTTATTCAGCTGTGTGTGACATGTAGGTCAGCGGCAGCGCAGCAAAGATCAGAGGCTGTGTGTGTGTGCGTGTGTGTATAGTGTTTCATCTGACTTAGGCTCGTCCCTGTAGCTGCCAAATAAACTCTATTTTGTGGTTGTAGATTTCCTGAGAATATTCGGGAAAATGTGTGAATCAGCAGCTAGAGTAAATTGTGGCTAAAGATTCAGATAAACAGCATGAGTGTGACGTAGAGGTGGAGGCTGCAGAGGCCTGTGCAGGCCGCTGTTTCAGGGTGTTGCTGCTCTTCCAGTAAGCCGACCTGCTGACTTGTCTCCTTACTGGAACTGATGAGTCACATTTCAGGCCAAACTGAAAGTAAAGCCGGGTCCCTGCTCTCTGATGGACGCCTCTCCTTCATGTTCAGAGTTCAGGATGTGACGGAGCTCACATGTTTGACTCTGAGCTGTTAATCTGATCTCCGCCGCCGCCGAACAACAGGAAGAGAGTGCAGCAAGCCTCTGAGAACAGCCGGCGGCTCTGCGGCGTCACAGCTTCACCACAGACATAAGCTACATCTGACATCATTTCCTCTGCTGTCTGTTCAATTGTAAATACACACAACCAGGAGAATGAGAATGATAAAACTCCAGACTAGACTTTGACCAGCTTTAAAGAGAGCTCCAGCTGAGAGTAGTGGCCACTACGAGAGGAAGCAATTTAACGCTCTTGTTCCAACTGGATCTAAGGGGAATATTTCTGTGTTGTATGAAGTGTTGTATGAGGTAGATGTCACGATGAGGAGTATTAACTCAGGCTTTAGTGAAATGCTGCAGAGAGCCAGGCTGCAATCATCTGCAGACAGGGTCAAGTCTTGGGCAGTCAGTTTTTCAGAAATTATGCTTCAAAAAAAAAAAATCCAACATTTCATGGAAATTTTTGGATACATTCCAATATTGCAATTTTATCAGTGATGGCCTTTTTGTGGACCTTTGGCAGTGATCCTGCTGCAAAAAAAGGCTGCCATATGGTGTTGAACACTTGCCATTGCGCCGTCGCCTCCTCCACCACTTCAGCTTCACGTGGATGGCAAGCCATCAGGTGAGCCAGCAAATGTGTCATCGCTGACGAGTAAGACAGCTGCCTGGAGCTAAGTGGACATACAGCCCTTGTTTTGTCTCTTATATTTCCATCTATGATGTAGATTCAAAGATACTTCAATAACAACGTCTCTCGCCCCAGTTTCCACTGCACCCGGAACGGCTAGAAAAAGGCCGTACCCGCCGATCATAGCTGATTGTAACCATTGAAGTTAATGTGTTAATTTCCATCGGCTTCTTTCCGTTCCGCTGCAGATCACCAGACTCCGCAGCTGATCGCAAGAGTTCTATTTTTTTCCAGATGCAGGAGCATGCCCGACAAATTCAGTACAGATTAACCTGTGCTGGAAACAAAACATCCAGCTTCTTTGGCTTGTATTTCATACCGTGCAAATAGGCGGGGATGAACAAGTGAAAGGTTTATAGAAAGCATGACACCATGGATGAGGAGATGCTGATTTTAGAAGTCTAGAAGTAGATTTCCTCCTCTGGAAGGACACAATCTACTGCTTATATGGTTAACCTACTGTATGTGGCTAGAGACAACTTCTTATCGCGCAATTGCACATGAATCCGCAGGTTCTTGTGAGTTCTCGCGATTCCTGCTGTCCGTAATCCGCCACGAAATTTGCCTCACAAACGGATCCGGTAAGAATTGGCGGACGGCGAAAATCGCTGCCGTTCCAGATGTTAGTTTACTGAGGTCAAGAGTGCGTGGATTGGTCAGGTTACCATGAGAGCGCCCTCTGCTGGAGCTACTTTGGCAAACTGATGCACTGGTGTTATTATGAGTTTGAACAGCTCCTTACAGTTAAAATATGAACTTTCCCCCCAGAGTTCAAATAAGGGTCAAATTTTAAACAAAAAAATGACAGTTTTTTGGGGTCTACCACGTACTTCAGCTGATTCTGAGAGACTGATTCAAGTACTCATCTCAGTTTGAGTGTGCAGTAAAAATACTGAGAAGATTTCACAGTGGCTCATAACAACATGAAAGGACCCTGTGATTTTGAGAATGAGGACAACACTCATAAAATTATGTAATATGACAACAAAAGTGATACGTCCAGGGGGGAAATAGCTGGGGGCAACATGCAAAGCAGAACTTTTGCCTTGACGTAAGAGTCTTTTTCCCAGTAGGTTGATAAATAAATCAGACATAAACACTAGCGGTGGTGTTTGTGTGAAAACAGAGCAGAAAGAACGAAGAGATGTCTGACAGGAACAGACAAAAACAGACAAAACCGCTGAACCTCCTGGAATGAATAAAATACAGGACAGTAATCTAAAGTCCATATGCTGCTCTTGAGTTTGCAGTGACCCGAGAATACATTGCGTCTGTAAGCAGCACTGGTTGGTAAAATGACATTTATTAAACATTACACCATGGCCACACCGATAAACAGCTGGAGTTGTTCACAGAATATTGGATGAATGCTGCCAGCAGGCGTGTCGTTCTGTGAAAGCTGCTTCAGTGAAGTGATCACTGCGTCACACAAAATTCACGTGCAGAAATGCTCAGCATAAGAAACTCAGTGATTATAAACTACAATCAAGTTTTGTGGGAAGACAAAAAACAGACTGATATAACAGTCCACTGTTAAAGTGATGAAATGTGGCCTCACTCTAAAACACAGAATTCAGAAAATATTCACAAGGGAAAAACAGAATTTGGGAGGAAATAAAACAGGATCTGGGAAAAATTCTAACTAATTTCATAGGCTCCGAGTGCATTAAACAAATAACTGACCGGATTTGCTTTAACGTTCTCCAGACCTGGGTGTAGTCAAAGACAAAGACCTGAATTAAAAACCACATCAAGACATTTACTGAGCTGGCTGACGATCACTTGAAGATTATAGCAGCTACTGAAGGACTTATGTCCCAGGAAGAGCTGGTAAAACTGGTCCATGCATTTGTCTTCAGTTGATTTCATTACTGAAACAGCCTCTTGACAGGCCTTCATAAAAAAATAAATCGGATAGCTGCTGCTTATGTCCTCACTAAGATCAAGGAAGTGGATCACATCAAGTCCAGTTCTGAGGTCTTTACTCTGACTTCCTGTTTGTCAGAGAATAGGTTTGAAAACACAGCTGCTGGTTTATAAAGTGCTGATGCTTCTCTACGCTACAAACCATCTCGGCCTTTAAGTTTTTCTAGTGCAGGTCTGCTTTTTTTCCCCTCAATCAGAAGCAAACAGGGAGAGGCAGAATTCATATTTTGGGTTCCACGTATCTAGACAAACTCCCAGAAAACACCAGGATTACTAAAACTCAGTTCTTTGAATCAAGGTTAGAGACTCACTTGTTTGCAGCTTCTTTTTATCATAATGTTTATGATCTTTTCCTCTTAACTACACTTTACTGTATCTGTCTCTGTTTGACTTTTATCTTAATGACTTTGTCTTGTTTGAATGATTTTGAATGTTGTCTTTCAATGTCGTTTTCTGACTTTTGTTCTGAGCACTTTGAATCACCTTGTTGCTAAAACTGGCCCTCCCTTTATTGATATGTTAGACGTGTCGCGCATGCTCTGCACTCCTGAAAATATCCTGACATTTTCTGGTCAATGTGCTTATGTGAATGCAAACGTCTGGATCTGTTCACCCCGACTTTGGGCAGATCATTTTCTGTCAGCCTTCATGTAGAAGTCTGCATGGAAGTGGGATGATCTGATGTGTGAACACGGCAGGAACATCCACGACCAGCGAGTGGGCAGTGTGATGGCATCATTCGCACCGAGCCCAGTTTCTCTGCCTCATACTCGCCTCAGACATCTGTCTTACACTTTTTACTACGATGTTCGCTGAAATGATCCTATAAATGTTGTAGCGACGTTAACGCAGAAGCAGCCGCTGTCACTGAATACATTTTCACCCTAATTGCCTGAACTAAATGGGGTTTTTCTCACTTCCACTATCGCTTACTGAAGTTATTCCTGCATCAGGATGGAGTGTCCTTTGTCAAGGTGAAGGGATCGGATACAGCTGCAAGCTCTGCGACAAACTGGCCCCACCAGAGCTGGAACTTTATGTAACCATGGTTACAGCATAAATAACTATAGCAGGATCACTAAAATCCCTCCACAATACAAGAAGAAAAAAAAAATCTTTTCTGTGGTTTTCTGCTCATTTTCTCACCCTCTGAAAGTGTCAAACTCTTGAAATACAAACAATTGAAAACAAAACGAATCTTTATTCTGTTCTAAACTTTTACATTTGAGCTTCTGTAAGACTGTACTATTCACATCTTGATAAAATAAACCTATGTCGGCACGTGCTATAAATGTGAGCTTCAGTTTACAGTGCTTCCTGCGTTACAAAGCATTAACTACGTCACCCCTGGTCAGTACGTCAGCTTCAGAGCAGACTGATATGAGGGTCCAAAAACCCCCTTTGACTAAACACTCTGAGGTCTTGCACAACACTCAGTGTGGTGGACCATCCTTGCAAACAGTGTGTGTAAATGGAGTGTGCAGAAGTGTGTACAAAGAGGGGTATAGGGGTCATAAACTCAAGCTGTGGTCTGCATTTGTGAAAGATGAGTCTCTGACTATATCAAGGTCTAAAGGTCCAGCTTAAATAATTTAAAAAGTGTCATAAAGGGTCAAAGAAAGCTGAGTTAGTCTCCTTGCAGAGCTGTGAGTGAGGATGCATTCATTGCACGCCTGCCGCTACAGTCGTGGCCTTGCTTCACCACATTTCTTTTGCTGATAAATCCAGTCAGAATAATTACAGTAGAATATCAAAGTCAGACAAATTACCATAAAAAAATCTCTCCTCATTCCCGTTAGCCTCTGCACTCCTGCTTTGGGTTGCGTTTTTTTGTGTCTGTAAGTTTCGCAGCAAATTTTCAAATTAAGTGAAGACTGAGACGAGAAATTAAAACTGAAACAGTTTTGTTTTCCTGGTTCTTTGTTAAATCAACAGATGGTGCATGAAAAAAACAATTTGAGGCTTTGAACAGAATATCAGCAACAGCTGAAGGTGTTTTTCACATTATTGATTCCTCTCAATAGAAAAGGAGTAAGTTATAAATTGAAAAAACTGTCTTCTGAATGGTGCCAACATACAGTTTGGCACCTTGTGTGGCAGCAGACCCTGACGTTTCCTGACTTGTTAACATTTCTGTGGGTTTGTTAAAAAAAAAAAAAAATGAAAGCCTTGAAAGCTACGAGGCTTTAGATTTGCTCTTAACTCACCAAAATCAAAGTTTCTAGGTACTGCTTGTTCTATTCAGCCCAGTGCTGTGATGTTTAAGGCTTCGGTTCATATAGCCTGGAGAAACTGCTCTTAAAAAGGGGAAAAGAGGACACATACCAGACAGAACGGGAGGGATGTTGACTTATAGTTTCGTCATTCCCTGTCTACACACAAGGAATGTTTTCACCTTTTTGTTCCACAACAGGAAACACTATCTGACCGAGAACAGATTTCACCAGAACACTGAATGGCTGGGCATTTAATTTAGTCTGTTTTTCATGACTCAGCTGAAGCATTTTTTTTTTTTTGTTCAGTCTTTTCTGGGAGAATTTGCATAGTTAGACGCAAGGTCTTCAAATGACCATGACGAACACAACAATACAAAATAATCGCACTTTTAGCCTTGTAGCATGCACACAGACCAACATGCAAGCGTTTTAGCAATAAGACAGATTGTGTTACAGCAACTAGACAGCATGATAGGCAAGAAAGTATCAGGAAACCTCTATGACAGGTACTTTCTCCATGTTTGTTGATTTATCAAGTCACAGGAACATTTTATCCCAAATCAAAGGTTTTACTCTCAGGGCCTATGTACACTGACAGCATTCCTGAACTGGAGGGGCCTATTTTCTTTCATAGACCAGTTCTGATAGATTCAACATCCTAAGCACAAATTTTCTTTCAGCATCAGATGTTTCATGAGCACTCAGCTGAAACAGTTCAACACCAGGTTCACAAACGTCAGCTCTCTCTCACCGACTAAAAAAAAAAGAAACAAGAAAGGGCAGGACTCCTCACACTAATGTTTACCAAATAAGGGAACAGATTCCAAGCCTAGAGCTGCTGCTAATGCTACGAAACTTAACTTTGCTTTCTTTGTAAAGTTTTCTTAAACTTAAGCAAAAAATTTAAAGCAGACTTCAAGGTCCCTTTCAAGAGAAGGTAAAAGGCTGTAAGCAGGACAGTTAATTGCATTTATCATGTTTAATGACATCCCCCTCGCTATTCAGAACCAGAGCTAGTAGTTATTTGAACAAATTATTGATACTTTTGTCACTGTAAAGGTCCTTACACACCAGGGCCGACACGAATATGGAACGCGAAATTACGAAATATTCGGAGGTGAATTTTGATGGGCCTGACTTTACACATCAAGCCTGATGCGATTTTGCGACTTTCCGGGGGGGAAAATATGCATCCCAGGGAAGTCCCGCCTCCTTCGCCTCTGATTGGCTAGAAAAGCTGGAAACATCATCACACGCTCAAGCCAAATGGTCAGCACTTATAGCCAATCAGAGGCGATAAGATAAGCACATGAAACTGTGGTAACAACCGTTAGCTTACGTTAGCACAGATGAAAGTTAAAACAAAGACATTTAGCAAACTGTTAAAAAGCACACAAACCATCGTCATATGAGCGATCCGACGCTATGACTCTCCACAAGTTGTCCTTCAGGTCGTTATCTTTGTAATGTTTGTGTAAACGATCATAAACAATCAGCCAGTCGGCCATGTTCGATATACCAGTGGATCAGACGTCACAACAACATGCTACCTGATTGGTCAGAAGTGGACACACAGTATGCAAAACTTTAGAAAAATCGACCATGATCCAAAAAATAAATGCTGCAATATCGCAAGAAAACTTCGCTGATGTGAACGCTTGTATTGACAGGATATGGGTTTGAAAAAGAATATTGACGCTCAACAGAAACGGTCCCGATGTGAAAGGACCTTTAGCCTAAAATTCAGATCATATGTTGTGTTTTAGCTGAAGCACAACCACTCGTCACTGGACGGGGCCGTAGCCCTGTTTAATGGCTCTTCCTATAATACTATAATGCTCTACTATCCGAATTTCAACTTTTATTTAAAGGATGGTAAATTTGTTGCCTTTGGACTCTCTCAGCCAGAAGCCAACTTTTTTACCAAGCAGTAGGACGAGTTTTAAAGTTGAGGTTGTGGGCGCTGACAGTGCAAAATAAGATGTCAGAGAGCACAGGCCCTTAAGAGCGCCAGTCAAATACAAACAACCACATCAGGCAACACAGAGCCAGGGTCAGTCACTGAGTCATCCATGTAGCAAACACTGCATTAGGACCTACACAATAACAAGTGATTCAAGATGGACATCAGATAAACAGGAGTAACTTCTGGATCAAACATGAAGAGGTAAAGCTCTTGTATTTTGTTGGGTCTGGGCGTGGGAACTCCTGACCTCAGCAAATTATGGTTCTGGCCCTGAAGAGTAAACAGCTCGTTTTAAACCACAGGGTCACTAAAGCAGGAATATTATTCATGTATTAAAGGTTTTTTTTCTCTCTATTGTAGTTTATCTGACACTGTGTTGACTACCAGATAACAGCTGACGTTACTCTCAAACTCCTGTCAGTTACTGATACCCTACACACTTTCTGACCAGCTCCATCAGGAGAGATCCACAACATAAAAATAAGAGCCTGCTGGAAGATCAGTAAGCACAGGTCGACTAATCGATCACAGGTTCTTGTGGGACTGATCGATACCTGTAGTAGTAAACGTCGCTCTTCCCTGCGCTCAGTCCGGACTTCCTGATCACTTCTTCTTTCTTCCAGCCGGGCGGAAGAGCGGGACAGTCCGTTCTCTTCCTCTCCATCCTCTCAGACTTCAAGATCCCACGATTATTTCACCGATCAGGTCGATCGATTACTCAGTAAACACCGCGGAGGGGCAGACAGCGTGGCGGTGAACCAACGGAGAGGCAGCCCGGGCGGACCCACGTCACGAATGTTACGTTAACGGCGGCTCTGCCTCCCTCTCTCCCTCCCTCCCTCCGCCCCGGCTGTTCGCGGTGTTTATTCCGGGTTCCGAAGAAATAATCAAGTGTCCCGTGTCGGACTCTCAACCGGACTGTGCCGGGTTAAAGAGCCCCCTCGTCCGGGTCTAGTTCCGTTAAGCTCCGGAGAACCAATGGCTGATCTGATCCGATCTGAACTGAACTGGACCAACGGCAGGCTGTGACGTCTGCGATATCACACACACACACACACACACACACACACACACACACACACACACACACACACACACACACTCTCTCTCTCTCTCTCTCTCTCTCTCTCTCTCTCTCTCTCTCTCTCTCTCTCTCTCTCTCTCTCTCAAAGATCGTCTAATGAACAGATATATTGCTGAGTGGTCCAATAAAAACTTAGTTCCAGTAAAAATTTGAAAGTGTATTATTATTTTTATTTTATTTTATTTATTTATTTTTGTGCTGGATCCATACGTAAAATGTGAATTGTATGTCTATAATGGTAAAAGTTAAAATTATGATATTAAAAAGTGTTAAATCCAAATGTTTTATCCAACGTCTGAAAAACACCAAAGTAAAAGCCCATCATCAATTTTGCCTCCTGCTCAGTGTGGCAAAAGTGAAATCTAAAGTTGCTATAACATTTACTGCCTGTCCCTAGTTATTTCTCACTGGCACATTGAGAATCTGACTCATTGTTATTGATCAATTACATAGAAACAATAAAGGTAATGCAATGTCAGGGGTTATCAAGCCATACTTTGAGTGATAATATGAAGTAATGCCATTGAATTGCACTAAATTTTCTGAATATATTAATAATAATAATAATAATAATAATAAGAAGAAGAAGAAGAACTTATTAATCCCTGAAGGGAAATTTAATTGTCTGTTGTCTTACATAACATGTCTCTAAAAGTCATCTACTATTTACACAAGAGTTGTAAAGTCTGATGGCTGTTGGTACAAAAGATCTTCTGAATCTTTCTGTTTTGTTTTTAATAAAGCATTACTCTCTTAAAGTACCCTACACACTTGGAGTGCAGTTACTCCATGTCACAGTGTCTGTTGTGGTTCTGGTGTCTGGATTTTGAGTCGGAGTGATCTCTCTTTACTTTTATTTCGTCATATCATGCCGTGCCTCCACTGACGTCATAGGCCGTGGGTTAAAGGGGCTGCAGCCGTGAACTCTGGAGGCATGGGGAGCTTAGACTACTGACGCGCGAAAGAGTAAGGTTTGATAAGGAACTGACAGAAAAAGGATTGATTGAAAATGTTTAATTATTTAAACCCAAAGCTCATGGTTAAATGAATCCACTTTATTATAACTCATAATATTTAGTCAATAATGATTTAATATACAGGATATATATCAGCAATAACACTGTAAAAAACCACAACAATTCTCTTTACTTAGGGGAATGCTCTTTATCCTGTATGATTACTTGTTCTTATAAGGTAATTATTTTAGGAGCAGGTGGTTATAACTGGTGCTCACATTATTATCATCAAGTGGGTACAGCATAATGACATGTGAGGACAAACAATCTATAAAGTAAGGGTGTAAAGACTGTACTTTGAAGATGTTGAAAATAACTTGTGTGCACATTATATTTACTTGTGTACACACACGTTAATATAATAACCATACAATATCGCTTGTGCAGACAACATTGAGACTTCTGTGTCAAGGTTGCTGACACAGGCACAAGGAAATAGCTTATTTCCACAGGTCATTTATGTCCTTATTCATAAATCATATTGTGCACAAAAATAATAAACTGCTTTGCACAATATTATTACCTTTAGGGGGAAAGTTTTAATTTCCTGTGCGCAACAAATAAAGTTTTGTGACAAGGAGATTTTAAATTGTGCACACAAGATAATTTTATTTTGCACACAAGTTATTTTCTTTTGTGCAGGTTACAAAAATGTAACTTTAAAGATTTTAGAGGTTCTGTACAATACAAAAGCAGGCCGTGTAATATTTTTATTATTATCATTATTATATTTAAATCTAAGTATTATTATTATCATCATCATTATTGTAAAAAAATGTTTATGAAGTGTTTTAAAAGAAAAAAAGGATAATGGAAAATAATTACAACAGAAAAAGAGAAATAGATCATAAATCATAGCATCATAGCAGATACATGTGTAAAAATACATAAGAATATTTTCATTTTATGGACAATAACAATTTCCAGAAGAGAAAAATGAGAAAAAATTTACCAAAAAAAAAAAAAAAGATAAAAATCAAAAGACTTAATCACAGATGTTTATTACTAATTTTAGGGCAATAACCCAAAGCAACTGGCTCTTTTATCTAAGTGTTTTTGTGTTTTTCTGTCAATATTGTACTTCTTCTCCAGTCCACGGGGTGGCGATAATTCTCTTGAATGTCTGTATACCAACCGGTCAAAAACCCGAGTAAGACAGTCTCCTCAGTAACTGTGTACTGACTTCAGATCAGCTAACTGTGAGTTAGCTTCACCCGGGATGCTTGAATCTTGTGTTTTCAGAGACAGTCGAGGTGCTGTAGTGTTTGGAAAAGAAATTACAGGAGGGAGAAACGAAGACGGAGACGTTCTGGAGAAAAATAGTAAGTCCTCTGTGCAGATTTTACTCATATTAACACGTTTAATCTGGAACATTTTGCTTCCGATTCCTGTTTTAAGCAGTTTCCTTGCTAAGTTGAGTATAAATGTCTCTAAAAAGTGCTACTTATTGAAATTACAGTTTTATATGTCAGTCAGAACGAGTCCTATATCATTTTTAAACACTAAGATTCAAGTTAAGTAGGAGATTTGTATGATATTCAACGTTTAGAGAGTTAACTGTAGTAGTTTTGTTGTGTTTTGGTTGCTTAGCTAACTAGCTGTTGACGGGGTATTCAGCACAAGCAAACTTACATCTGTTAGTTTATCCAGCATTATACAGCTCCAGCTTCTAATGAGCTTTTCTGTTGAATAGTCAAGTAAATTTGCCACAATCATTGAACAACCTGCTGTGATGAGATATTAATGAGACTGTTAGTTACACAAACTCCAATTCACAAAGCTGGGCCACTTATAAGACCCAGGAAAGTACTTACTAATGTTTTTAAGTCTTAATAAGGGTTAATAAAAGCACATTGAACACGTTTATTCATTTGAACCCATGCAATGATCTCCACTACAGTCATGTTGAGATTATTTTTCAATTCTATGTCAATATTTCATGCAGAATCCTGACATGTTTGGAAATGATGTCGTTGGATCATGTGTTTAAAGAGCTTTTATTCCACATATCGCACAACTTAGTGGTTGTGTTGTGGTTTTACATACAGGCAAATGAAGAGAGGGTCGTCATGTCATGTTTTTGTTTATTTTTACATGCAGCTACATAAGCAAAGAAAAACATCAAAGCCCACTGTCTATTTTCACTTTTCACTTCTCCACAGAACCATAAAGGTCTTTTACTTCCTGTATTTCTTTTTGTTTTAAAGTGAGTTATAACACCAAAATGTGATTTTTGTATTTTCTTATAATTCAGCATGGAGTACAGCCGTCTGGTTGGTGATATTCTCTCTCCAGAGTCGACTGTGACCTCCCTGCTGTCCAGCTCAGGTCATCTGAGGAGCAGTCTGCTGGCTCCTGAACACAATACAAGCTTCAGATACAGAGACAAGGTTCAATCTACTTTTTCCTCCTGAGGGCCTGTTTTCTGAAGCAGTGATGGGCCACTGCAGAGTTTTGCTTGTCGTATGGCTGTAATTACATCGATGAAGACTAAAACACCTGCTTGCAGGAAATGTTTATTGTGTTTTGTCCTGTGTAAAACATTAATTCAGGCTCTTTAATCTATCAACCACAGGAATATGACTCGGCCTCAGCAGCTCTGGACGCCTACATCACAGACTTTGAGAGAAGTCGACAGAACAGAGCGACTGTGGCAGGAAAGCTGGTTCTTCCTCAGAGTCCACCTGTCACACCGAGCAGACATGGCGTGAACACACTCAGAAACAAAGATGGTAGGTCATCAACTCCGTGTGTCTCTTATGTTCATGTCCCTGGTGAACTTTAGAGTGTGATAACTGGTCTGTTTGTTTTAATGTTCATTTATTTCTGGTCCGTAGTTTTGAGGGAACGTTTGACAGACAGGGAGCTGGACTTCCTGAACCTCCCAGTCAGCTCCCTCCATCACCGTAGCAACAGAGACAGGCTCTCCATGACGACTGATGAGTTACTGTCGATCCCTTATGACGGCTCGATGCCCGTCACCCACACATCCGCCTTCATCCAGGGTCTGTAAATGCGTCATCCACCACTCACACCTCCACTTTCTTTGATAGATCCCTGAACACATCACCCAAATGTCTTCTTTCAGATGAGGTCTCTAAACCCATTACCCACTCCCCTATCTTCATCAGGGTCCTTAAATGCAGCACATGCACCTCTCTCTTCATTTAGGTTCCTTAAACGCATCACCCACATCTTTGTTTTATCCTGAATTCTTTTAATGCATCATTTAAACCTCTATCCTTCTCTGAGGCAATCAAATGCAGCATTTACACCTTAACTTTCACCCAGGGGCCATTAAATGCACCATTCACACCTTTAATTCCACCCAGTTACCTTAGAACAAATCACCTACACCTCAGTTTAGATCAGAAAGTCATTAAATACTTCCTTAAACTTTGGGTCTTTAAAGGAATCATGCCCACCTCTGTTTTTAATTAAAGGGTCCTCAAATGCATCGCCAATACCTCAGCCTTTATCCGGGGTCATAAAACATGTCACTCTCATCTTTGTTTCCATCAAAGGTGTTTGAACGCATCCTTGTAAGGTGTTTTTGTTCAGTTATCACCCTGAATTTGTTTAACTGGTTGATAAATTTACAGAATAAATAGATCAGATCCTCTCACTTTGTCCTCCAGGCCTCATGTCTCAGTCTGGAGCCCCCCAGCCTTGCCTTACCTCTTCCAGACATGCACACAGAACCTGGGATAGACTCAACTGCAGCCGCACAGCTCCCAGGTTAAATCCCCACCACCCTCACCCGTCTAAGACGCCCAGAAGCTCCAGGTCCATGCTGTTTTTTTACTCTGAAATATGTTCGAGAAACACCAACCCTTGCTTTACATTTGATTAAATTTCCTTATATCTTGGTGCAGAGGAAGGAAAGAGGCAGAGGCAGCCATGTCGAAAGCAGATGTTGACATCACCTGCAGACGCTGCCACAGGGTGACTATTGATTATATTTTATCAGCCTCAAAATCTGGAAAGTTCTGAGTTTTCTTGTTTTGGATTAAAGTGCTATTTCTCCCTCTTCGCTGTCTTTATTAGTCTACACACAAAGCGGCGAGGCCAGAGCAGGTAGACCCATCCTCTTCCCTCCACCTTCCCCACTGGTTCACCAGCAACAAGTCTGAAATGAACTTCTCGGGAATCACCAGTGTGCCAGACCTGAAATACCCGGCGTGGATTCAGTGCTGTGACCTCAGTGAGCCGCCTCCACCTGCCGAGTCAGAGCTTGGGGATGAACATGGTAAGACATGCAGGAGACTAACCTCACAGAAAACCAGAATTCAGAGTTTGTCCTCACTCTTAAAAAGAAAACAGGATACACTGACATGTACACAACTTATCCAGCTGATGACTGCTTGTGCAAGCACCAGTCAGTAGATAGAAAAGAGGAAATAAAACTCATGCTCCAAAACCCATAAGAGGCACATGCTGCTCTGTATTTCTGTAGTAACAGCCAACAATATTTCAGTAAACAGAGCACTTAAATACAAAAGCGAACAACATGATCATACTGAGTGAGAGAGATGTAGAGTAACAGCTTTTCAAGGAGACAAGTAGACATAGATCAACTCTAAAACATCTGGTTTCTGTGCCTCGTCTCTTTCTGCACAAACAACCTGACCTGCAGCTATTTCAGTGCACTTCCTGTTATAGTCTTATACGTGATCAATGCCTCAATATGCTGACGGGTGGAGAACAACCAGCACTTAATTGAGTTAATGCAGTGCAGTTGAAAGACATAAGGTATATCAGTGGGTTCTTGACATCGATCTACTACTCACTGTAATCAAAGACTCCAGTCTTGCTCTGCAGTCACATTAAATCAAAGATAAACTGTTTAACTCCCATATTAGAAAACTCCGGTTTGATATAAGGTAAACTAATTAATCATTTTAACCACAGATCACTTCAGTCTGAGACTGCCAGCTCCTTTCTGCTGCTGAGCATACAAGAGAAGAAGTAGAGCCTTAACCCTGAGGTTTTAGCCTGCGATGAGCCACAGACTCTAAATCTCAGCGGTACATTTAAAAAGAGACTAACAGAAACCAGGATAGTGATATCGGTCACGTGTACGGGAATATGAATAACCAGATTTCTCTGTGTGCGTGTAAACGTCATAACCAGGATACTTAAAGATAAATCCACATTAATGCACTCAGAGCACAGAGTGGGAAAACAGAGAGAGAGAGCAGGAGAGACGTGTTTAAAAGGAGCAGTGAGTAGTAAGCAAAACTGGGCCAATGCTTGAGGCATAACGTCTGTATATGGGGCGCATGGAGCCGGCTAGCCCAGGGGTGCCCCTGTTCTGCGATTTGTAATGTCTGTGACTGCTGTGAGTGCGAAATTATGCTGAAGAAACTGTTTTTGTTCCTTCTTTCACAGAAAACAGTCAAAGTGATTGATAAAATTCGCTTTTAAAAAGACAACAAGGAGAGACTTTTGTCAAGAGATGAAATCCGCAACAATGGAAAAATAACCACTTTGTCCTCTAGGGGTGTCAAATTAAATACAGACAGAAAGTTCCTCACAGAAGCTTTGAATCCAAAAACTGTCAGGGAAAGAATGAAGAGTTTCTTCTTCGACTTGAGCTGCATTTGCTGGATGCATCCGAACAGAATTGACTGATCATCTATTTGTAAAGCTGCAAATTAATGACTAAAATAGTACTACGGAGGGCTGTTTGCATAAAAAGATCTTTGCATGGTCGAAACAAATCAAAATCAAAAACAGACTGCCTGGATTAGTTGGAGTCAGTGACACCAAACTTGCTCTTCTCCACAAAACAAGAAATACAAAAAAGAAAAAGCTTTTAATGATAGACATCTCATTTTGGTCTTCTGTTGTTCCTCTACCTGCAGATCACAGGACAGGAGCTCCATCGTGGGTGGAAGAGCTTGAGGAGGATGATCTTGACCAGACACCTGCTCAGGTGAGAGAAGTAAACCTAAGTCCTAAGTGGAGAAAAAACTGTCGCTGGTTAGTACAGAGCCTTCAGTGTCTTGTTTCTGCTTCAGTGGATAGCGTTGTCTTTGGAGTCATCGGGTCAAATCTGGAAAAAAAACAAGTAAATATGTGTCAAGCTGAAGGATGAACTTTCATGCCCTGTTTGGGGCTGCTGCAGCTCAGTCTGTAGGGAGGGAGCTGGAGGGTGGCTGGTCGAGTACAGATGTAAGCACAGGCAGTGGACTGGCGGTTGCTCATGATCCATAATGGAGTAAAAACATTGAATTCCCCCACATGAAGTTCACCCTCTTCTTCTTATGTGTCCATTTACAGACTGACAGCCAGCTGACTCTCAGGGATCTCAGGATTCAGTTTGCCGAACAGATTTCTCTGCTCACTTCGGAGAAAAAAAACTCTGACGTGGTGGAAACTCTTTTCAAAAGTAAAATACAAATTTTTGATGTTACATCAACATTTTGTTCAGAATATATTCTTAGTCATGTATTTTCTTCTCGTGTTTTTCCTCCTTTCAGACAACAGAATCGAGGCTCTGATCCAAAAGGCAGATGAGGTGTTGAACTCTCTCTCTCAGAGTTCTGGAGGAACAGAAAGTCGTTCACATTCAGGTGAGGACTAAGACAGGATGTGTGCCTTCTCAGTAACCACAAGTCAAGTGCTGACGTTTTTTTTATTTTTTATTTTTTTTTACTGTGTCATGATGGCTTGGACAACCATAAGCTGTCTCTTATGTTCTGATATGTATTCTGGGGCTGGACAGTGAAACAAGAGTGATATGCTCTGTTTTCTTAGTTTAGGTAAAAAGACTAGCTGCCTCACGCTGTTTGAAGGCGATTTAGCAACACTTGTTATTAGGTAATTTCCTTTGTTTGCAGCCAGTATCCCAGATTGTGTTGGAGAGGATGTCAGTCAGCTGAACACAGAGGAGAAGCTGTTCTGTCACCAATTTACTCAGTAAGACTACTTTGTACTCTTCTACTGTTAGTTCTGATGCATACAAGTGAATACACTGAAAGAAGCGGTTAAACATGATGTTTGGAACCTGCAGGGACTCAGCAGCAGCAGCAGCAGCAGAGGGCACTACAGAGCCTCAGACTGTCAGAGGAGCACAGGTAGGTGGTAAAAAAAAACCTTGAGTTTAAAGTCTGAATGATCCTCTGACAGATTTGAGAACGTAGCACTTCCTCCTTACTGTTTCCTCTTCTAGACTCAGGGCTGCATCTTTAAGCAGCCGGGTCCAACAGAAGCTCTGAAACAGATGCTCTTCAGACTGCAGGCGTTGGAGGCGGAGGTTCCGAAGAGACAGCAGACAGCCGGAGCTTCAACACATACAGAGGAAACTCCAGTAAGACAGGTTTGAGTGTAAATGTTTTGTACTGAATGAAACAAAAATTACATGTTGAGCAGCTTTAGGTGATGTAAGGACTTCTCTGTGTTGCAGGGGCCTGAAGCAGAAGAGGAGCTGGAGAGTTTTTCTGGTGGAGCGTCACTACAAAGGTAATCAACACTGACTGAAACTGAGTAAATGTGACTAAAAAGTCTCGAAAAAAAAAACCTTTTTCAGGACTTTTTATTTTTTTATCTAAACCTGTAAATATACATTTTTTACATTCAGACAGTTTAGCTGAGGAGGATATTACTGTTGATTTTTTTTCATCCTCAGGGCTCTGCATCACCTTAGCCGACTGAAGATGCTGGTGGAGGAACCAAGAGAGAGACACGCAGAGAAGGAAGAGGAGAAGGATGAAGACGAAGGACGGTACTCCTCTTCTTCTGCTGAAGGAGTCACCTGCATCCAGCAGAATTCCTCTTGAAACAAAAGGCCTGTCCATTAAAGCTCCCCTCTTTTGTTTCTTCCAGCAACCAGCGCTGACGGTGTGAGATGACAATGAACACAACACTGCTCTAGATTAACATATAAACATGATTAATGTATAATCATAAAGATAAATGAGTTTATCTATCCTCTGTACATGAACACAGTCTAGGGACCAAACCAGGCTATCTCTCTGAAGGTTTATGAGAGAGGAGCCAGCTGTTGAAACAATGCAGTGACACACAGGTGACTGTTAATGGAGGTTTACAGACAAGAGGGAGTAAGGAGCCTCCCAGGACAATCAGACTGAGGAAAAAATGACCAGACAAACTAAACAGAACATTTTCTAAACGTGCCAAAATAAAGGTGTGTACTGATGTGCACAAACTATAGTTTTAATAGCAATTTTTATATTTGCATTAAGGCCATCGGCCCCTCTCAGTGTCATTGTAGATAGTTGTACACTTGTTTTTTTGCATTAGCATGCTGCCCTGTACATGGTCAAAGCTCCTGTAGGAAACTTTTGGTTTGCGTCAGTTTTGGCACCCCCTTGTAGACAAAGTGTTACTTCTTATCTCTTGTCCTGTGCATATAGAAAAAGTCTTTTCAGGCACAAACCTCATCCTCTTGTCTTTTGGCAGTGAAAAGTATCACAATGTGAATATTTGAAGAAACAAATCAACTTGACTTATTTCCTCATCCACTTGGCTAACACCCCCCCACCCCTCAGCAGTTTGAGGAATTGAAAATCACAGCTGAAAATTTCCCTGCCATGTTACAGATGATTTTTTCAAGGGTCTATCAAACCAGTTTCAGCCTGTTTCTCAACCAGCTGAAAACTCCCCACCAGTCCTGTTACTGTACTTTTTAAGAAAAAATCCCCCACTCTTAATTTTAAGTCAAATGTAACCCCTTTGGACACTGTTTTAAGTGTCTTAACATGCAAGTGTTACATTGGAAAAATACAAAGTGTTACACTCTTACAGTACAGAAGTATTACAGCTACAAAAAGAAGGTCTAATTTAGCTCAGATCTGACTTTTTATTCTCAGAATTAAAACATTTTCTAACAATATTTTTTAGAATTCAGTCCTATTCTCAACTCCTGAGAAATTTTTTAGATTATTAATATTATTTGTAGCCTTTATCCTGTAATTGCGACCATATTAACATCCTTTTTTCTAATAAACAGGGCTGTTGTGACGACAACTCTAGCCCCACTAACAGCTGTTTTTATAAGCTAGTTTCCTGCTCTATAAAGAATGATTCATGCAAAACCTTTACACTTCAAAATTATCTACAATGAGGAAAGCAAATGTGCTAATATTCGCATGTCAGCTTGCTTAAGTTACCATACCGTGGTGCTAAATGTTACATTAACAGTCCCTTTGCTATTGGCAGGGCTGCAAACACGTCAACCAAAGCCCTGTTACACGTTTGGATAATGCTGAAATTTCACATCACTAAATTTAGCTAGTTCATTCTTCCAAGTTCACAGGTAGATGTAATATGTAAGCATGCTTCTGCGACCATGTTATGGCATTAAATGTTACACTGTCGTAGAAATAGTCGTGTAGAAATGCTAAATTTTGCATGTAGTCATCCACTTGTTATGCTCATGTTACAGTATTGTCACTTTCATGCTCAAATCCTGCAAGTTCTAACAGGAAATGTTACTGTTTTACATCTGCTGCAAAATGAAGGATGATGAGAAAACATTCATGTTTAAAAAAAATGTAAGTTTAAGCAGCAGTTCTTATTTCTAATTTAACAGGGACTTTGACTTATTTTGTGGAGAAAAAGTGAAAAAACAAACATTTTTGTTGTAGATGTATAACACGAGTGAAAATTAATCCAATGTGCTCTCATCAGCAGATTTCTGCATAGCACTGAACTAGCAGAGATTGAATTCAATATGCCTGAGAATTTTTACATTGACCTTCGTTGTCAGGTCAGCTGTGACAGTGTTTACTACTGAAGTGCCTGAGGAAAACTAAGAAACATGGCTATCTCTTCATACTGTAGAAGTGTGTCATTTAAGGTTTTTAAACAGAACTTTAAAAGTTTAACGTTGTATATCAGAAAGTGTTTTTGTCAGTCCTGTTACATAAACATTTAAAGGCCTTACAGTACATCTTATTTACTTTTCATCATTTCTCCTTCTGTATGAACTTTACTATGAATGATTTGGGCACAAACAGACAATCGGTTTTATATATTTGTATTTGGGTCAGTTGTAAAGAGATTAACACTGACTGTCAGAAGTACCACAATACCAAGTCAAGGGTGACCATGAGAAGATACTGTATTTTCTTTGTTTCATATGGAGCTTTAATGTTTAAAAGATGTCTCTTTTTCCATCTAACCGTGCTCTCAGCTGCTCTTTTCTCAAACAGATCCCATTAAACTTAACTCAAAATCTCTGCTGTCATTTTTTGCTGATATTTTATCCTTTTTTTGTCATTTTCCTACAATCAAGTTTTGTTAAATTGTCTCTAATGTCTTAGCAAAACACTCTTATAAAGATGGGGACTGACTCACTTTTGAAGCCATCCTCTAGTGGACAGTGGAGGAAGTGCAGTTTTTACCATTCCCTCTGGGTCATAACCAGACATTAATCATCCCATCACTCCCTGCTGATATCACAGTGTCTCCCATGTGGTCGAATATCACACTCTGCACGCCATCACTGTGACCTGACAGGCTGCTCACCACGAGGGAATCCAGCTCCACCAATCTCACATCACCGTCACTGCAAGCAACAGCGAGAGTCTTCCCTGATGGGCTGAACGCTACCTGGTTGGCGGCCTGCGGCCCAACATCTACTTCTGCTGTTGCTGATGACGACTTCCTGATATCCCACAGGTTGACGACACCATTGGAGTCACAGGAAGCCGTGATGTTTCCCGCCAGGCTGAAGGCAGTGTGGTTGCAGGGGTGCTGGTGACCCTGGAAAGTAGCAGTGCAGACTCCCTGCCTGGTGTCCCACAAGCAGAGGGTCTTATCAGCCGAGCAGGTGAGGAGGAGGTCTGAGAAAGGCAGGAAGCAAACGCTGTTCACAGAGGCGGTGTGGCGGCGCAGTGTGAAGCAGCAGCTCTCTTTGTTTAGATCCCACACTTTGGCGGTTTTGTCAGAGGAACAGGACGCCAAGAACTGACCATAGGAGTGGAAGGAGCAGCCCCAGGTTGGCTGAGTGTGACCAGAGAGCATCAACACACAGCGGCCACGAGAGAAATCCCAGAGACGGACCTGGAGGACAAACAAGCCAAAAGTCAATCAGAAAAAGAACAGAACAATTTGATCCCTAACCCTAAAAAAATGGAAAACTGTAAAATGTTGTTAAAAAAGGATTTTGATGGATTTCAGATCATTTAAACCCAATGCAAAAAGTGGTGATGATGGTCACCAGGGTTTTTGAGTGCAGAGATTTCAACATTTCTTATAGTATGAAAACATTTTACAGGAGATAAAATAAAAATGCATTTCCTCATGCAAACTAAGCTGCGCATTTGACAGAGAACTGACAGAGATGTTTTATTAAAGTGAAAGAAAGGTAAACTTACTGTCGTGTCTCCACTTGTTGTTGCCAGTTTTGCTCCATCAGGGTGAAAACTGCAGCTGGACAGCCAATCAGAGTGACCCTCACCTGTCAGCACCATTTGACCAACCTAGCGACACAAAGAACACATTACCTGAAAGTCAGCGAAATAATGTGATTCTTTTGGACTTTTTCTCTGAAATAATTTATGCATTTAATACTGAATAGCACTCGATAGTGCTGCATTCTGCAAAGTACTGACTCTCTGGTAAGACTTTACCCACAATATCTGTGGTAATGTCATAAAAACAAAGGTTAACACGCAAAAGGGTATACCAGGGGAGCCATGAACATATCTTTATTTAGAGATGATGATGGTGGCAATTGGCCTTGTGAGGGTTGATGCTGATATTATCTCTATGTTGATATACTTTGTCTGGTTTAAAGTCATGGTTCATGTCATAAACCAATAGAAACCCTTCTCTAGTACCTTCTCTCCATCAGATGGCAGCGCCCACAGCCTCCAGTTGCAATCGTCGCTTGCAGAGGCGAGGATCATCTTCGTTGGGTGGAGGTGGATGCAGCTGATGGGGAGGTGGTGAGCCCTGATGGAGGAGGACAGACTAAAGGAGCTTTTGTATGGACCAAAGCTGATCTGAGCCAGGTGAGGGTCAGGAGGCTCTGTTTTCTTTGGAGGTCTGCTGAAGGTGGGTTTCTTTGGTGATCCACTCCTGGGGCCTCCCTCTGTCTTACACTGAGATTTTTCCTGACTCCTCTGTGTGTTTGTGGAGTTTTTGACTCTGTCCTTTTCTAAACTGATCAGCATCTTCTGTGACACAGCTGTCTGATATTTGTCCTCCAGCTGTTTAAGTGCCGGCTCAAAGGACTGCAGGTGTTTCTTCAGCTTTGTGCAGTCCTCTTTCAGCCTGTTCTTCTCCTCTAAAACTCGATTGTACTGACACCGGTGGAAATCCCTCTCCGTCTTTATCCTCGCCATGCTCTCCCCGGCCTTCAGCACCTCTTCTCTGAGTAAGTCTGTCTCCCTGCAGACCTCTTCAAGCTCACTGTGAAGGAGTTGCCGGTGTGTGAGAGCATCAGGAATGAAACACACACCTGGAGACGTCATCCGCAGTGAGTCAGTCTGGAGTTTCATAGCTGAGCCGTACCACTCTGCCTCGAAGCTTTTCAGCGTCTGCTTCATCCCCAACCTCCTCAAGAAGTTTCTCAGGAAGTCGTCCACTGCCTCTGGGATTCTGGGGATCATTGGTGGGTCTTGTTGTTTTGGAGGTTCATGTTTCCTCCTTGAAGCAGCAGAGAAGGCGGCCTCCCTCATCGCCTCCTCAAGGTCCTCCTCCACCTCCTCACTCCTTTCCTGCCCCTTTGAGAAAACCTCATTTTTCTTCCTCTCCACTATCTCTTTCCACTTTGCTGACATTTTGCCTCCTCTGTCTTACAGAGTGTTGTTTACATGTTGCTATGGTAGCTCTCCACAACTGCTGAGTGTTGGTTACCCTGTTCCCATAGCGACACACTGATAGCCTAACTATTTCCTTTTTATCCTCTGATCAGAATCAGACTTTCAAACAAAAGATTTTTGTTAAAACCTGTTGAAACCTGCTATTTTCTTTTATTAAAGATCATATATTTTATAATTTTGTGGGTGTTTTTGCTTCTACTTCTTCTCCTTTTTTTAAATTTATTTTCAAATTTATTTATTTATTGCTTGTTTGATGTTTGATGTAGTGCCTATTTGGTTTCATGTAGGCCTGTCGCGATAATCAATAAATCGCCTTATCGCTCGATAAATAAAAACGAAGCCGGTCATTTTGCCAGCCTCGATAATTGACGTGCGTTTGTTTTCCTCCTCTCTCGCTACCAAACACGCTGGATGAGAGAAGAGGTCTCACTCTGCGCATTTTTCTCGGCACCTGGGGGCGTTGGCTCTATAGCGGAATGAACGGAGTTAGTGAACCCTCCTGTCAGTCATTCAGTGTCTTTGTCACGAGGGGGCTGGCGCGCACAGGCGCACAGACACAGACTTTTGGATACAGTGCTGCAAGTGAGCGTCGTGAGTGAAAAGCAAGCGAACAGAATGAACACGACAGCTTTGGTGTCTAAACCGAACGCAACAGCCCAAGTGTGGGAATATTTCGGCTTTAAACCAGTTTTGTTTTCGTCAACCACAAAACTCCACGTGTGTGCGCGCGCGCGTGTGTCTGTGTGTTGGAGGAGCACAGCAGGCTGATGAGAGCTGTCAGAGCGGACTGAAGCTGCTCCTATATGTTTAGCGTTTAACTGTCTGAGTTTTGCAACTCTGTTCGTCATTTTCGTCTCGTCCCATCAACGTGAACGCACTTTCGCCTCGTCACATTTTAGTCATCTCCGACTTATGTTTAGCTCGTCAACGTTACGTCTTCGTCGTGGGTGAAATTAAAGTTTATCACTTTTGACACGGTCTACTCGCATTATTATGCCATTAAATATCATTATCTATAATTTAAAAAACGGTGTCAATAATATCGTTTATCGGCAATAATTTGTAGCACAATTATCGTCCAGCAAAATTTGTTATCGTGACAGGCCTAGTTTCACGTTTTGTGAATGATTACATTTTCCCTAGTGTCGTAGCTGATAAATAAATGCAGTATGAATTTAAAGGTGGAAAGTAGAGAAGATAAAATAGATAAAATAAAGAATATAGAATAGAGGAGAGAAAAAGAGAAATTGATCCCTCATTGATCTCTTTGTTTTTATAGCCTTATTGATGATAACCACATACAGTATTGCTACCTGAGCTTGACACCCCAAAGGCAGTATGAGATATTAACCACCAGGGGCGCTCTGTGGTCAAGCTTAAATTTACGTCACATGAAGTCGTCACATGACTGTCAGGGGCAAACAAAACAGGAAGAGGTTTTGTTCTTTGGTGTTGTGAGTATTTCATCGTTTATTATTTTGAAATGGAAATACAGTAGCATCAAGAAGTCAAAGTTTGAATACTAATTCCCTTTTGCACGTTTATGGTGTCGCTACGCCGCGTTATTTGCTTTTTGCGTTGCAAGAGGAACCGAACTCCATATAGAGTTTGGTCGATTTAAGATAATCGTGCTTACCTGTAAAGGTACGTTAAAATTAAGCATTAATTGAAAGTATATTTTGTATAAATGGGGTTTGCTTGTTAATTCAGCATATAAATTATTGAACCTTGTCTTGAGGTTTATTCAAAATCTTTGTGAAATGTAGCAAATGCGTAGGTCGCTTGTTACGATGGTAGGCTACACATTTTAACAGCCCTTTAAAGTTAAGACGATACATAGTTTTTTACATAAATTTGTTAAATTAAAAACATAAAGCATCTTTAACATTAACAAGGCCTATTTTGTACTGAGAAGCAAAGACTGTGTGCTCGTTTCCTTGATTTTAAATGTTGACAATTTTGATGATTTTTTGAATGAAGTTTGGCTCCTCGGCACAATCCCGTTAGATCCACTGAAGGACGGCATGTTCTGACCCGTTTTACACCTTTTGCACTTTAAGACCACTTTATATAGTTAAAGTGATTATGCATATCTTCATATGGCGGGCATTAACTAGAAGAAACTCACAATAGTTAACGGATGCTTTTTTACGTGGTTGTAAATGCTTACTTTGGTGAAATGCAAAGCTCAACGCAATTCCTGTAGTCATGTTTGGGTGATTGTTGCTTAGTTTTTGTATTTTTTGCAAACATTTGCAAAGACCATATATTATTCTAGCTGAATCAAACTCTGTTTATTTATTTTCTGGGTTTGCTTAATTGCATTGCTGTATTTACTGTAGGTAACATCCAGACAGGTAACTGTACAACTTTCATGCAGTGTGGAAATTGGTGAAAATAAGATGACAACATTTTATGCAGTTACAGGCCTAGTAGTTGTTATGACTGATCAAATGAGATGCAGACTTTTAGAACTGAAGTATATGTGACTATTCTTAACATGTCTTGATTGCACTATGCAGGTTCAGAGGTCACCATGGGGTCTGCAGTGGAGAGGACAGATGAACATGTGAGAGAGTACCTCATCTACAGAGGATTCACCAACACCATGAAAAACCTGGACAGTGAAATAAAGGCCGACAAGGAGAAAGGCTTCAGGGTATGAACGACAGATTGATATGGTTGGATATCGTTTTGAAGAGAGAACTGAGTTGTACATAATTTTCTGGCGTTTTTTATTATTGTTGGTTATTATGGTTTTTAGCCAGGCCAGGTTAAAAGATGAATAATTCCCCTCACTTCCACTCTCCCGTTGCTCTGCAGGTGGACAAGATCATCGATCAGCTGCAGCAGTTCATTCAGAATTTTGACCTGTTTGGTCTGAAGGAGTACTGGCTCTACCTAGACAGACGTCTTTTCTGCAGACTGGAGGATGTTTACAGATCAACAGTCAACAAGCTGAGGACCAGTCTGTATAGATACTACGTCATCAACACCATCCAGGTAGCTGCCTCGATAGAAACTTAACGCAGCTGTTTCTGAAACTGAACATTTTTTGAGGGTACTCTTTTGTCTTTCCTTGCAGAAAGGAAACCTGGAGAAGACCCAGGAGTTTTTCCAAAAGCAAGCGTTGGAGCTGCAGGGTCAGGCTGAGTGGCGTGACTGGTTCATCCTGCCATTTATCCCTGCCCCTGAGCAGAATCCTGCCTTCTCTCCTTACTTTTCCAGGCAGTGGGCTGACACCTTCCTGGTTTCACTTCACAACTTTCTATCTGTCCTCTTTCAGTGTATGCATATCCTTTCGATGGCTCCATGGCTGTAATAGCACGAGTTTGCACTCCTAATGTCAATGAGGTTTAACAGTTAAAAAGCATGTGTCAACCTTTAGGAAGAGCTACGCTGTGTCTGTGTTCAAAACTGCTGGTTTCCAGTCCTTAACTGTCTCCACCTCAGCCTGTTCTGCTGAGTTTTGATGCTGAGGTTCAGAGGACGACCAGCCTGACAGAAGAGAACGAACAACTTCGCCAGCTGGTGAGAAAACACTCTACATTATCAACAACCTTTTCAGCTGATGAGATAATTGAATAAAAGTACTTTTGTCTGAAAAATGAACGAGTGCTTTGAGGTATTGCCACATCTATCACCATGAGACCAACTGCGATTTAGTGTTTGGGCATTTTCATTTTACATAAATGCAATATATTGATCCAAATAGTCACCTGGTTTTGATTTGCTTCTTGAAGGTAATTATTATTATTATTATTATTGTTTATTATTATTGTTTTAAATCCGTCTGCCTCGTCTTCTCATCCAGCTGTTCGCCCTGCACACGGAGAACCGGGACCAGAGAGACGGAGATGAGGTGGTCCACCACAAGCTGCCGGTGTACGTCCAGAACATGGACCGTCTGGGAGACACTGAGCTGTGAGACACTAACATCACAACACTGTCTTTAAATGATGACTTACTACAACCAAGATGGCTGCCATTCTGATGTTTTCTTTTTGTTTATTAAGATACATCTGAGTATTTAATCGTTCTTTCAAATGAAGTTATTTATTTGATAGCTTTGTTATTTATTTTTTATTTTGGCTCTCCATTGGTACGTCCAGTATGTATGCTATGAAAATGGAGCTGTTATTTATTTTTGTTGTTAAATGTTTTAAATATCAGCTGTTTAAATCAAAGACACTCAGGTGATGATAAAAGCAGTATAATGTAAAGGTTCAAATGGCAGCCATCTTCAATTTTCTCTCAATGAACTTTATAATAATTGAAGCACAACCTTCTGCAGTTTTTCTCACCCAGATGGGTCTCTTTGTTTCCTTTCCCAAGAAAAACACATACATTTATATTTATGATTCCTACACTTTAAGCTTGTTTTTCAGTTTGACCTAACTGCTGTGTCTGGTTGATATTTTTTATTATGAAAGTTTTATCATAAAGTCAAATTTGTCAAGTGTTTACCTAATTAGTAGATGATACAGTTATTCTGTTGCTAAGATAAGATTTACGAAGATCTTTGCTAATTCTGTTACGATATAAAAGACAAGATTTATCTATGACTTGGTAAAAGATAAGGTAAATTAAAATAGTGTAACACTCCTTGTATCATGTTCAAGAGGAGAAAGGGATAAAGAGAAAATAAACAAGGATATTTTGCAGTTAGAGTGAAAATTTAACGTGTTTACCCAAAAACCTTCTCCCCAAAATCATATTTCATAGAATTTTAAGGCACTTTATTACAGAAGTGTATTATAGTCACTTGAGACAAAAATCTGTCTGCTTTGTCCTGAAATTACATGATACTGCAACCTGAAAAATCTCAACAGAGCCTCTCTCACATGTATGAGGAATGCAAACATTACGTTGGCATCAAATTAAAAATGAGGAAGTGTTTTTCTTAAAATGATAAAATGACATGTTTTCTTTGCTCTAACTTCAATTCAAATTATTTCAAAATCATTTGCACTGCATCTTTTTTGGAATTGCAGTTGTAATTTTGAGACATGAGTATCTTCTGTTTCTCAAACACAACCTTAAAAAATCAGGTTGAATAAACAGCGAAGACCTGTTTGCTTCTTGAAGGAGTCTAAATTGGAGCTCCTGTTGAGATTTTGAAGGACCAGTATTTGGTTAATTTGTGAAACAGCAGACTTTTTGCACTCAAATGAATGCAATTCACTTGTGTACTTTAAAGCACACAGAAGAGTGGAATAATATTTTGTGTTTACTAAACTAAAATACATATTGAAGATCTTTTCAATAAGCTATTGTAAATGTTACAGTATTTATAATATTTTTGTGTGCTGTTGTGCGGTTGCTGTTGCCAAATAAACAATTCACCTTATGAATTGTGTTTTTTTTTGTCCGCGCAATCCATTTTTTTAAACTCTCACACAGACATGTTTTTTACACACTAACAGAGTAAAGAAGGGTGGCAGATTCGGTAAACTCTAAGATCAGTAGAAGCCTAGCTAAAGCTAAGTATGATGAGAAACATGTTAAATTTGTGGTTGGCTACTTGATAAAAACCAGTTTACCCACATTCAGACACACATCATTACAGTCCACAGGCCCTGGCAGAAAATACCCACTAAAACCATTATCACAAATAATCACGCTCTCGTCATGAGTCAGGTCATGTGAATTGCCCACCAGTTTTGGTCTGAATACTAAACCAACATCAAACACCTAAGATGTGTGAAAGATTATTGCTGGCTCAGGTCGCCTGCTGCGTTCATATTTCAAAGAAACTCAAATGATAGGCCAGGACCCAAAAGTGGGTTGCCGCTAAGAGCCTGAAAAAAGCTATGAGTGAATTTTTTCCCCTGCCTTTAATTTAAAGGATGTGTTCATGAAACTTGCAGTTGTGTGGTGGTATCTTCACACGAACGCTGAAGGTGTGCCTATCCAGCACCATTGCAACACTATGGAATAGCGTTGCAATGGTGCTCTCTGGTATATCTGAAAGCAAAATACAGCTGCGTTGAATAAATTTGACTGCTTCTTCAGTTTAAATTTTTCTATGACCTGTAGACTAGTTTGTTAAAAGAACTACAAAATATGTTACTTGTTTTATACACTTTGTTCCTGGAACAGAATTCAGTATCATAAAATAGACAAAACACACCACAGTGATCACCTGCGGCACCATCTTGCATTATCTAGTAACTATTTTCTCTGAGTAGCTTGTTTTGTCTTATCCAGACATTACTGGATATAGTTCGTTTACTTAATAATAACACATCTTCAGTGCAAACATTACTTTGGTGTTGCTGCCTCCTGTGGCTGCTGTCAACAACCTCAGCTGCTCCTGTATTAAAATGCTGCCAATGTTACCATTCCCAGTATTTTGACCTATTTTGTTCCCTTTGTAAGTGACGTACAGTCTCTACAGGTTGATAAACATCATCTTTAGTTGCTTTCTCCCTTTGACATGCCTCTGTCCCGGGTTTTGGTCCATCTTATCTGGCCTTTGTTACTCAGTACCACCCTCCCTCAAGCATTGGAACAGCTAATAGCAATACCAGTCAGAGGAACGTTTTCTTTTTACACTGGGTTCAACATTTTGTATTACTGTTCTAGGACTAACCATCACAGTTTCCATGCAAACCCAATCGTTTTGGCGCAGCCCATCATGTTGTTGTTACACAATTTTAAGATAATCAAAGCTGGTGTAGTGGTGCTCTCTATTGTCACCCTTCATCCCCTACAAATACACTTTTTTTGTAATGGGTAGGTCCAGAAAAAAAATCAATAAGGCCTAATTTTGTTCCTAGTCTTATCATTTTGCTGGTCTACTATGTTTTTATGTTAGCATTTAGCTTACAAGAAAACAAATTACCAATGTACCCAGCATGCACAAAAATGGAGCATGGAGCCTTGAAGAGACAGTAACCTTCAATAAGTTGAGGTTTGATTAAAATTGCATCTTGTTGGATTCTACTATCCTTTGTAGGGTGTTGTTGTTCTTTGGGGTCTTCTTGGTGTGCTGGATTTTGGTGGGTTTTTTTCTGGGGTAGATCTCTTTCTTCTACTCTCTTCAACTACAAAATTAGACTTACTGTTGAATTTGACAAGAGTTGTTTTGCCGCTCTTAACCTTCAGTCTTTTTCAAATGTTGACTTTGGTGGATCTTGAGATTCTTTCATCCTTTAACTTCTGCACTTTCTCTGCTCTGGTCCTCTACCCTCTCAGGGACTTGGTGTCGAGCACTCGCACTGTCACCACCACTACCACTCCTTCCAGAAACTTCTTCTCTACATTCCTGCCTCAGGGTAAACGCACTCCGGGGAAACCACCTCAAGTCGCCACGGGGACCTCGCCAAGCCAGGTAGCAGTGGGCAGAAAGGACCCATTGACCAATCCGGTGAGAGCAAATTCCAGTCTAAAAACTAAGCAGAAAGGAGAGCAGCAGTGAATTTGTCAGAATGCCATGAAAATTAGGACATTTGACAGGGACTTTGAGTCTATGATTGATTGGAGGTTTGGAGAATGTGTATCTCAGTGTTGTGACCAGTTGGTGGGGAAATAGCGCAATCATGTTCGTCTGCAGTTCCTCATTATCATTCATGCTTTTGATGTTCAAGGTTGAAATCTAAAACCTTGTGAGAGTTTTTTTAAATTATTTTCATTTTCTAGCCTGCAAAACCAAAGGAGGTGATCCAATCCAAGGAGGCAAAGCCGGTGCTGAGCCAGGCATCAACCAGTGAACCAGTGATCTCCCAGTCCCAACAGTCTACAAATCAGTCAACAAACCAGCCAGCACACGGCAGACACAAGAGGATCCAGGACCATGAGAAAGAGAGGAAGGAGCTTTTCTCCAAACCACCATCACAGGTATCTGAAAACTGCAAATTGCTGACTTGCCAGTTTTTACTAATTTTAACAGATTTGAAGGAAATTTTGTCTAATATTTAAGGACATGAGTGTGTCTCGATAGAGTCAGCTACCTATATCACCAGCTTGTTCATTTTGGCTGGAAATGATCAGCATAAGGCAGCTAGTTTTGGATGCTACCAAGCATAGGGCACTACATTTTTTGGACGGACTAGGGAAAATGATTTACCTGCCCATTATTTTTTTGTGGTCATAAATTGGATTAACTAGACAGAGTGGACATACAACTTTATCTCTATTTTCTAGATCAAAACACTGACAAACCACGCAATGCTATGAGATGCTGTCTGTCACCTGTAGCCCTGTCATTATCACCAGCTAAAGGCGTGATGTTTACATCTCTGTCGTGTCTGGCCTTCAGCATGACGGTCACGGAGACGAAATAACGGGACAAAGTCAAAGCTGCATTAGGGCGACGCTGTTGCAGCATTATGGAAAGTGTCTGTGCTTGTTTACATCCAGGTAGTAGAGCATTGTTGCATCATGACAGAAACTGGAGCTGCAGCACCAGCTAGTGGCAGGCGGTGGTACTATAGCTTAGACACAACATATGATCGACTTTTCAGGGCTGCACTACTATAGATATTTATGATTAGTTTATTTGACTAACAGAGACTGGACACTTTTTTCATTGTTCACTGACATTATCTATTTATGTGTTGGCTTTAGGCACCACCAGAGAAGAAGGGGGAGGTGGGGGAGGTAGAGCATGTTCCAGAAACCTGCACTGACCCTACAGAATCTTCATCCTCAAACTGCAAGACGACAAGCGGAGGAGCAGAGGGAAGTGGCCTGTCAACGGAACAGCCTTTCATCAAACTCAGCCAGGAGGAGTACGGGGAACACCACTCCTCCATCATGCACTGCAGGTCTGACACTCATTTGAAATTCATCTAAACTGCTCCTGCACTTTATACATCACCAACCAACATATTAAACTCATCCATCATTTCTCTGTCTGTGCTCTAGAGTGGACAGCTCTGGTCGCCGGGTTGCCAGTTTGGATGTAGATGGAGTCATCAAGGTGAATTTAACTTTTTGCGAACTTTGCATACAGTTTCTGCACAGTAACTACATGATGCACATTTATTTACCCATCATCTGCCTCAGGTTTGGTCATTCAACCCCATCATGCAAACCAAAGCCACCATCATGTCCAAGTCTCCTCTGCTGTCTCTGGAGTGGGCCACCAAACCTGACAGACTGGTATGAGCTAGAAACAGACTGCATATCATTAAGAATATTGTTGTGCGTTAATACAAAGATGACAAAAATGCGCCTTTTTGTGTATCTTTGTGTGTTTTTGGTGTTGTGCCCAGTTATTGTTAGGCAGTGGTGTCGGCACTGTACGACTTTATGATACAGACGCCAAGAAGAATCTCTACGAGATGAACATCGATGACACTCATCCACGGTAAACCAGGCTGATTGCAACTTTTTATACGTTTGAATCAGGACTCTTCCTATGAATAAATAAAGTTTGTGTTTGAACTAAAAATTAAGAAAGTAAAACCGTGTTTCTGTGTCTGTCAGTATCTTGTCTTTAGCCTGCAGTCCTAGCGGTTCGTCGTTTGTCTGTTCGGCTGCAGCTCTCAGTCGATCTGGAAGCCTTGACGGTGTTCCTCGACTTCCTGTCCCAGTGACAGGACAGCTGCTGCTGTGGGACACCAAGACTGTCAAACAACAGGTAAGAAAGAGCAAATGAGGACTAACAGGGATAAATGCTGGTACAGCTCTGTTTCTGTTGAACTAATTTTTGTTCACTTTTTAAGACTTTTGCTGACCCCAAATGTCCATGTTTTGTCAATGAGTAGAGCAGAAAAAAGAGCTGTGCAGAGGTTTAAAACACAAAAAATTGGAAAATTATAAACTGTTAGACTTGTTGCTTTGGACTTGTTTGCTTTTGTAATAAATGAAAAACTCTCTGTCCTCCTCAGGTCCAGTTCTCCCTAGAACCTGAACCTGTGGCCATTAACTGTACAGCCTTCAACCACAATGGGAACCTGCTGGTGACTGGAGCGGCTGACGGATTCATCCGACTGTTTGGTAAAAGATTAACAGGGATGCAGTTAATGACTGTTTCTGCTGCGTATTCCTCAATAGGCTTTAGTCACTGACAGTGTGCAGTCAGGTCTACCAAATTTTGAGTTCAGTTTGGAGTGAGACTCCCACACACACACCCAATAAAAAGAGCCCAATGTAAAATATATAAAAATACTAATTAGGAAACATCCGTATTTGATAAACAGCCACAAGTAAAAATCGACAAACCATGGGGTCATTGACATCTCCATTATTGAGTTCACAGACAAAGAAACCCCTGACAGTCTTGGGCTATGAGTCATTTTCTTAAAAAATTCATACTTAGAAAAAAAGTTAAAAGTTGAGTAAAACTTAACAATTAGAAAAAGGTAATGTTTTTCTTGCATTTTAATTTATTGAGCCATAAATGGGGTCATAATTTACAGGACTAACATTGACTGGTAAATTAGTGTTTGAATGAGATTATTCTTAAAAGAATACAGATTATCTCATGATCTGTCAAAATTTGTAACGATTATCAGGATGTAAACATTGTTCTTCCTGTGGTGTCAGACTTAAATCAGTGTTGACTGGCTCCTTTAACTCTCCCCGCAGACATGCAGCGTTATGAGAGCGCCATGAGCTGGAGAGCTCATGACGGAGAAGTTTACAGCGTGGAGTTCAGCTACGATGAGAACACCGTCTTCAGCATTGGAGAGGATGGAAAGGTTTGTGTGCATGTTTTCGTGAACCTTTATCCAAAGAGCCTGAAAACTTTTTCAAACATGTTTAATCTTATTTCCTTTGGGAGGGGGGACGACATCAGAGGAGTTTGATTGAGTTGAATAAAAGCGTTTGTGTTCAGTTTATCCAGTGGAACATCCATCGGTGTGGGGTGAAGCAGTCGGAGCAGGTTTTACCTCAGGATGCCACAGGACCCTTCGTCCTATCAGGTTACAGCGGCTACAAGCAGGTGATGATTGCTATTCTCTCGAACCAAAGCATCAGACATGTTTCAGTTTTTACTAATTGGCTGAATAAATAAATCGCTTTTAATAAATTTGTGAATGATTTGTTTCTCAGGTTCAGGTTCCTCGAGGTCGCCTCTTTGCCTTCGACTCTGAAGGACAACACGTCCTGACCTGTTCGAGCACCGGAGGACTCATATACAGAGTAAATACACCTTCATCCTCATCTCCACCTTCATCATGAATGTTGTCCCGTTTATTAATTCTTCTTAATTGCATTTATATGAAATAATCTAGATACATTGATCTTTGTTATGACACTGATTTAAACTTTTATTGGATTTTGATGCATTTAAATGAGCTGCAGTTGCATTAGATGAAACACAGATTGTTGGTTTGAAGTTTTTATTAAACAAACTCCAATATTGTTTTAATAATGTTTTTCTTTTTATTTCATTTTCTCTTTTTTTCTTTTTAAAATCTTTTTGTTTCAGCAATATGAAGATTTTTATTTCATATATATTAATATTTCATTTAAATTCTAAATTTATTTCTCAATTGTTGTCTCCCAGTTGACCAATGGGGAGCCAGCTCTGGAGAACGTGCTGTCTCTGGGCGGGCACAAAGCCCCAGTGGTTACGGTTGATTGGTGCTCGGCTGTGGACTGCGGCACCTGTCTGACAGCCTCCATGGATGGGAAGATCAAACTGAGCACGCTCCTGGCACAAAAGTCCTAACTATCAAAGGACACCTGAGGGGTTAAAGATCATCAGAACAAATTATCAACTTTTAACAGTAACAGTATTGATAAGTGCAGTTTGTAATCTGTTTCAAAAACACATAAAGACACAACAAACTCATTAAAATCCAACTGAAAGCAAATCTGAGAGGGTGTTTCTATCTTAAGGCTGTGTTTATTGGTTCTTTTGGCAGAAGAACTGAGATATTGCTGTTGTGATTAAAATGACAGTAAGCAGCGTCTTCATGCGATGTCTTGAAGGGCAGTATCAGAAGGGCTGTAGAACAGGGACTCAATGTAAGGTAAAAATTTACAACCACCTTTACCTGCATTTTTATATGGTCCCCTCATGGCACTTTTTTCCCCTCCCTTTGGACATGGCACAGTTAAAACTAAAAGAAAGCTACTTTAATTAGTTAAGTTTTGATGACAAGTACTTTTTCTTTTTCTTATTTCGGGTAAAAATCATCCGGCGATAGTGATGATCTTACTAATTTTAGCGACAGTATTCTAGGGTCAAATATGTTTTTGCTATTATAATTTGGTCTTGTTTCTATTTTCCCCTAATTTTAAAATCTTTACGACTGAGACCCATGCCTTTATTAATAACGGCTCTGCAGCAGTAGCAGTTGTTTGCCACAGGGGGCGTCAAACACCTAGATTCATAATTCCTTCCAGCGAAGAAGAAGCTGGAGCAACAACAATAACAGACAGCTAGCCACAGTTAGGGGAATATCTGCAGAAGGTCCTTCATTTTGCATGTAAATCCTTCTCTAGCGAATGCATTTAGAACTTTACCGCGATTAGACATCATATTAAACGTGCACGGAGGTGAACTCAGACGCCATATTGTGAATTTTTACAGAAATAGCATGCAGCTGTTGTTGTGACGTGCAGACGGTGTAAGCTAACTAGCCGCTCCGTTAGCTCAGTCCGGTTCTCTGGTTCGGTTCTTTGTTTAATGTCACTGAGCTCCGGTACCGCGTGCAGACATGGAGAGCTTGTACAAGCGCAAAATGTTCGCGTCCATGCGGAAAACCAAAGTGGACGCGTCAAAGAAGCGGCAGATCGGCCTACCCGCCTCTATCTTGGACGACAGTGACGAAGGCTCGTTCTCCTCCTCCTCCTCCTCCTCTGGATCCCAATCCGACTTCCAGAGCTCCCCGGAGGAGGACAGCGAGCAGGAGGACAGGGACCGCAGCGACTCCGGGGCGTCTTCCAGCGATGACAGCCGCTCGGTGACCCGCAGGAAGCGCTCGTTTCTGGGAGGCGACGACAGCTCCTCCTCGTACAGTCCCGGGGAAGAGGAGGACGACGAGGACAAGGGGGACCGGAGCCATCCCAAGAGAATGGTGCAGCCCAAGAAGAGGAGCAGGTTGCAGCGGCAGGACGACTCCGATTCGGATCGTGCGGAGGAGAAGCGAAGAGAGGAGGCGGAGAAGGTGAAGAAGAGGCAGAGACATAACAAACTGCTGGCGCTGTCCCGGAGGATGAAGGCCCGGGTCCCGAACCGGAGGAGGAACCGCATCAAGCAGGTACATGTCCAGGTCCGACCCTCATGACTTATTCAACATTTCAGCCCTTTAGTAAGTCAGAAAACTATATACAAGGGCTTTTTTTGTCCTAAATACTTAACGACAATCATTCGTAACCGTTAATAGCAATTGTTATGCAGTGTAATAAGCAGTGAGCAATAACTCTTTGAAGATATGGTTTATAATGCAGAAATCCCAATGCAAAAGAAAATACAGCTAGTCTGGGTTTAATAGCATCTCTTGAATTACATCTCTCAAAACTGTACCTGCTTACAAAGGTTCATTAAGATCTCATTCCATGTATCACTAAAAAAGCTTCCAAGATTCTGAATTTGAATAAATTCTAATTATACTAAAAACATGCTTAAGCAGTTGTGTGAAATGTCAGACAGAAATACCTAAAGATTAGAATTTTTTATCAATATAAACTAGGGCTCGACCGATATAGATTTTTTGGGGGTTGATGCCGATAACGATCATTAGGGGAGAAAAAAAAATCCGATTATCGATTAATCGGCCGATTTCTTGATTTTTTTATGAAGTTATAAAAAATACATATTGTATATATACAGTATACTTCATACTGTAGATATACTGTAGGCTACTGTTCTTCCCGGCGACAGGGAGACCGACTGATGAAACTCTGACCCGAAAAGCGTTTTCAACTACCCCCCCCCTGCCATTCGGTGCCTCTGCATCTTAACTCACGTTACTCATTTCCGGTCCGTCTCATAAGAGAAGTAGCTCGATCACGTAATGTGTACTGTTGTTTATTCTACCATTACTGACACGGCTAACAGTGTAACAAGGCTAATAGCAGATGCCCAACTCTAACTTTAGCTTGCATATTACATGGTGCTTCACCGTTAACTCAGCGTGACAGAGACTAGCACAGCAGGGAACATCGTGAAGTGGGTTGAACAAAAACTTGTTGACTTGTTGTGTACTTCACAAACTGGTTTATTTACCGTTGAGGCCCTTTAACACCTTCAATGTAACTGTGATATAACAGCATGTTTGCTTAGAAAAGGTTTTTGTTGAAAACTACAGGGAATTGAAAAGTGCATCACAACCCTTTAGTCAAAGTTGACCTTGCGATTCTACTTTCAGGGTGAAGGGGACGAGGAAGAGTCTAAAGAGGCTGAGAATGATGCTGATGAAGATGAGGTCAAATCTGGAGGTAGAGAAGAAAATGGAAACAAGAAGGAGGCTGCAGGAGATGATGATGAAAGTGAAGATGAAGAGAAAGACAAAGATGAGGAAAAGGACGACGAGGAGGATAAGGAAGAGGAGGAAGAACAGAAGTAAACCCCTTATGGAGAACAAAGATGGAGGTTGAATGTGGAGAACTTCTTGACTCATAACTGTTAGTTTGTGCAGTTTTTTTTTCTCCTACAACATTTAAAGAAGAAACACTAAAAACTGAAGATACATGATTTTATTAGTGACCTACGAAAAAAGATGGACAGCCTCATTGTTCTCATGAGACTTTTATTTTGTAGAGGCAGAAAAGCCTGAAAAAGGACAGAGACTTATAGCTTTAAAGCTGAGATTTAAATTTCTCTCCTGGTTCAGTCACATTTTTATTTCTCAGAGCTCCTGCTGATTTACTGACATATTGCTCCTTAGAGTAGTTGTAATTTAAACAACCAATCATCACTGATCACTTAAAAAGTCTCATTTTATGAAAATATTGAGATCACAGTGCCATAGTGGTAGAGAAATCAGTAGTTGTACGTTAGTATTTGGTTTTGTAGCAGAAAGGAGGGCTTGCAAACAGAGTTTCTCATTAGATCATCATCAGATTTTACCAGGAATTATCTGTTTTATCATTTATTTCAAAGCTCCTGTGAGGAGTTTTCAGATGGTTCTGAAATACACTAAAATCAATACTGATGCCTTTTTATGACCCAGAAAAGCAAACAAACCATCAGTGAGAAAATTGATTTTTTTGGGGGGCTATTTTTTAAAGTCTATAACGGCTGCTGTGGGGTGGTAATATACTCAGCACTGCAATAACAGCCTTCATTTCACTCTTGATTAGTTTTGACAGCTTTAAAAAGCAGAATGAGATTTTTTTCTTAAAAGAAAGGTACTTTGACGTGTGTAGGACCAGATTGGCAGAGACTGTTTGTCCTAAAGGAGAGCAAAAAATGAAACAAACCAAAAGTTCCTCTTTTGGAGCTTTAATTTAAATTATTTTTAAACATACTTTTTCAAACATCCTTGTTACAGCCTCTTAAGTGCAATAACTTGCTCCTTATTTTTACTTTTTTAGGTTATGAAGATTAACTCCGAATATAGAAGACATGTGAGTCATTTATGAAAAAAAAAACACCGCTTTTACCTTGAATTTTTGCCGTTCAAAGAATGTCTGTTCTGTTGCTTCAGATCCTCTAATAGTTGTTCAAGGTGAGAGTTGAAACATGCACAGAAACTTGCAGCCTTGTTAATCAGCCTAGATGCATAATCCTCGAGGTCCAGTTTTGATTTAACATCAATAATTCATATCAGTAGTATCCAGTCTTGATTTAATGATAGTATTGTTTGTTTGTTTTTAAACAGCAAAGAGGTGCCATCTCTGAGTATGACAAAGTTATTTCAGATTTCTTCTTTGGAGCTCAAACGTTGAGGTCTTTTTTATTTGGTGGTTGGAATAATTGTTGTTTTAGTGGGTGAAATCTCCTCTGAAAAACAAGTGAAAGGATTTTACATCATGTTTATTTATCACCTGTCTGTGTAAACCAGGCTTATGACAGTAAATCAGCAGAGGTTTGCTCAGAACAGGAGGATCACACCAGACTCAAAGCAGCATGGAGGGTTAACATCCAGACTCTGCTGTACCTGCTGCTCTTGGTGGACGATGCTTTAACAGATGGCTTTTTGTGTGAAGTGACACTCGTCAGATCAAAAATGAACTTAAACAAAATCATGGATCTGCAGATTTGCTCGTTTATTAATGAAATACCACAGGAGAGGAGTAACATCCAAGAATCATCCAATCAGAGGTCTTCAAGTCCTGATTTGGTCCTGTCTGTAGCGTTGAGGGGATTTTTTTCTGAATGTGCTGCAGCTCAAACTGTATGGATGGACACGGCTGCTGAGGTTTATGATTAATCCAGTATTTAGAGACACATGAAATACCCAACGAAAGCACTCAGATACTTTTGGCTGCACTTCTCTTCTCCTGAATTGACGGAAATATCGGATTTCAGCTCTTCCTGCAAAGCAGACAGTTAATTTCTCTATTTGGGGTCATGGTTAGCTGAAGATTCATACTGAATGAATTTAAGCCACAAACTGAAACACTTTTTCATTTTATTGTATTATAACCTTTGATTTGTTACAGTTTAAAAGCAGTGTTTGCAGGAATGTCGGTAGTTCTGTCCTTCTTTCTCTGTCTTCTGCTTCAGTTCGTATGACTATGCTCTGCTGCTTTAATCTTTTTTTATATCTCTGTTACCTGTTACTTCTCTTTCTCTGATATTAATACAGCAAATAATTACATTTTAAAGGATAAATCTGGTACCCTTCTCCCTCAAGCTGTCCTCCAGGTGTAAAGCCCAACAATAATCTTTAAAAATAATGAGTTTGGGGATTGAGCTAGTTCGTTGTATTAGCCAGCAGCAGTGAAACAGGCTGTAATAACTGTTACATAATCTTATTTTGGGCAGATTAAGCGTTGGTGTTAAAAAAAACTGCAGTTCCTTGACTGCTCACTAGGGGCTGGCCCTAAAAACTTTGGAAAAAGTCTGTTTACAGCCTGATCCAAAAAAGAAACTGGGGTCCCTCTTGTCTGCCGCACATTCTGTACAAGGGGTTGATTTGTTATAACGGATGAGTTCAAAAATACAGAGGTCATGAGTTTTGCACAAGAAAGTATAAGTAGAGGTGAGGCTGGTGGGCACATTGTAGCTGTCAGAGAGGAGGCCAAAGGCCCGTCACAGCTCCACGTCTTTATCTCACACGAGGTTCATCACTAGTTATGTTGGGGGTTTAGGGGGCTCTTTGGTGACACTATTGTCCATGTTTTACATAGTCCAAACTGTGGTGAACATGACACACTTTTAATACCTTAAATTTGTCTTCTAAAAAGTGAAATGTGATCTAAACACCAGTGTGGCGAATACAAACAGAGAGGTTTTTTTTTGTGTGTGTGTGAGTGTTACAGCTTATGACTGTTCACGTAAAGAAGCAAGTAACCGAAGAGGAAGACGATTTTAGAAACGCCTCATTGTAACAGCTTTTCTCCCTCGTAATCGCGCATCCAAAGCTAATGTTGGTATATAGTTGGTAAATAAATCCTGTGTGTGGAAAAGACACCCTAGGTTGAGGCTTGGCTTGCTAATGTACTCTCTGGGTCAGCGCGCAGCTCCAACCACAGATAGTAGCTGTAGTAATAGCTTAAACAGTGAATAATTGGTACAGGCAGATATGAAATGTGTAGATGTGAAGTGTACAATGAAAAAAATAGTATATACATACTGGTATTAATATTGGCCAGAATAGGTTTGAAGATTTCAGCCTGTTGTTATTATCCTGTTTAAGAGTCCCTGGCTGTGGAGTCTTGAATATTGGACATATTTCTCCTGCCTGGTTGGTGAAACTTTGACTTCTTTCGAGTCGGTAATGACCAAAAGATGACTTTCTGGTTTTGTTGTGACACCAGGTGAGTATAAACAGTGAGATGTAGTTCACAGCTCTAAAATCTACCAAAGATGACATCCTTTGAGAATGTCAAAAAAAAATTTCTAAAAGATAATCCAAAAATGTTGCAGTTTTCCTAACCAGATCATAGAGCCGGTAAGATCGGACATCTCTGAATTTAATGTGAAGATGTTATCCCAGACAGAGAAGATGGACAGAACTATCAAAACCAGATTCAGACAGACTGTGAGAATCAAAGTGGTTTTTGTTTTACGCCTGTAAACTTTCATGAGAAATTCTGGACATTTCTTTTGACTCCAGTTAGCAGGTTGCGGTTCAGTTTTTGCACTTGCTGATCTGCCACTTTTGTAACTTTAACACACAGATGTTAAGAGATGAAGATATGCAGTGTTTTTTGTGTACAGAATTAACTTGAACAGCCACTAATACTTTCATTCTTCTTTTCTATTTATTTCTTCCTCTCTCTAGAGTGCTGCGTTCATGTGCTAACGTAAAACTTGGACAATTAGAGTCCCTAAACAGAAGTTTTTAAAGAAGCCATTCACGTCTTCTTCCCCTCCCTGTTACCTTCCTTCTTTTGCTTTCTTCTCCTTGAAGTTTCCTTCCTTCCTTTCCTCCTCTGTGTGGTGTTTTGGTGCACTTGCATTAGAAAAAAGGCATCCCTTATCAGATATTAAGCTTGCCTTTGCAGATTTCTGCACTCAAACACCCATAACTAAGATGTACGCTGGTGGAAAACTGACTGTAAAGAATATTTTTCTCCAGTTTCCAGTGAACAGCTGTTCTAACTGAATTTACATTTTAAAGTGTTCAAAAGCCTTGTGGCCTTTTTTTGCTTTTGCTCAGCTATCAGACTTGGTGTGTTCAACAGAATAGTAATGATTCAGACACACTTTAAAGTTACATATCAGTGCTGTGTATTTACGTGTTTTTCAGTGTGTTTTTGGTCTTTTATTGCTGTATAAAGCTTGTCAGACCAATCTGCTCCATTGGAAACACATCTTTTATTAATAAAGGTTCTTTTTTGACCAACAAGTTGAAGGAAATCATTTTACCTGAACTTGGTACACAGTATCAGTTATATTTCTCTGCCTGAGAATACATTAAGGCTTCATTATGTTATTAAAAACTACATAAATACACATAATCCCTGAAGTCTAAAACATTAGAATTTTCATGCATACAAAAAGTAGCTTGTGGGCCTTAGTACTTGTAACAATCTTCTGGAAGTATGTAAATATCTTGTGCACACTAAATAGTTAAAATGTGTACAAGGGAAAACAGAGATATGTGCACAAATTAACATGTAACAAGTTATCTTTCTGCACAATTTGATTGTCTTTTGGGAACAAGTGATTAACTTGTGCAAATGAGACAACTTGTATTCACAATCAACTTATCTTTCATAAGTTACATAAAGGTTTTCACAAGATAACTGTATTGCATGCACAAGTTAACTATCTTGTGGGGACCAATAAATAAGCTTTTTGCAAATATAATTATTTTGAGGGGGCAGGGCATTCATTTATAAACTATTATTTTGTGCTAAAAAGTTTATTCCTTGTAAGAAAAGTCAAAATCATTGTTATATCTTGTCATATTCTTTTTCTCTTTTGTATGGTATCCTTTGTTTAAGTTAGAACTAACTTTTTGCGGTCTAAAGGGGCTCTGGTGAACAGGTGCTGAGCTGTCATTATAATGTCTTTAAAAAAAAAAACTTTATTTATCTAATACATGGTGCTTGGGCAGAGCCTACAAGAATTATTTTATTATGTATATCAAATATCTTCACTTAATAATGTAAATCTCTTCTCTTTCTGTTTCTTTTGTTGGGTTGGGGAACGGGATCACGTGACCGCGTCTCCGTCTTGCCGCCATCTTTGTTACTGGCAGTGAAGCCTGTGTGGAAAGCAAGAAAGGGCACCAGCGGAGCTTCGCAGACTATCAGTCCGCGTCTCAGTTTGTGTTTTCCGGACAGCAGCCATGGTTCAGACGTGCTCAGCTTACGGCTGTAAGAACCGCTACGTCAAAGAGAAAGACATTTCCTTCCACAAGTAGGTTAATGTGAACTGTGTGTGTGAAAGGTACGAAGTGTTAACTGTCCAGACATGATTATTAGGCACTGAAATGTTCTCCAAGAGGACCAAGAGATATAAGTTCAGCCAGATCACCAGTCCCCGTTCACTAATCCTCCGTTTTGATAAATGGTTGCTCATCGCCAACCTTAAGAGGACGATACAAGTAAAGAAAAAACGTCTGTTGTACCTGTAGATTGTAAAGGTCAAATCGGGCTACAGAAATTTCCCATTCACCATTTTAATAAGATCGTTTTTTGCTTTTGTGTCAAGTTTGCTGCTTGTTCTCAGCACCCCTTCCCACAGAGTAACAAGTTCAAGAACACCATGTTCGTGATCGATATCGACTGTCGATATATTCAGCTGATATGAAAACTTAACTAAACATATTTTTAACAGATGTTTTGTAAGCCGAATTTGCCAGTTTATTTTCTACGTTCATAAAAAATACAAATTATTTATTTTTAACTATTTCCGCCTATTTAGGTCAATTGAGATAATAAATTATTCGAAATGTAACTGGACTTTGGTTAAAATTTTAAGTCCTTGCTTTTTGCCTGTCAGGCTAATGTTAGCCATCAGCCTCCTCAGCTGTTGAAGTCAGAGGTGTGAGAGGAGTTAAACCAGACTGAAATCAGGACTAGAGAGCAGTCCATAACTTATGTGAGCGCATATATATTAATTTTTATAATGAAACGTTCTATACCCTTTGATTATTCATGTTATTTTGGGGTAAGAGGTTTAGGTCATCTTGATCCTACCAAGTCTAGTGATTGTTAACAGGAAAAGGGTGTTTACATTGCTGTTTCATTCAAATATAACCCTATTTGACCTTAAAAAAAAAAAATGAAATACGACTTTAAAAGTTAGGGAGAGTGTTTTTATTAACAATTCGTAGCAAATTCTTCCGATAACTTACCTATCAACTACTTTCAACTGTCATGAGTACATTCATGCCAATTGGAAATATTTCAACTGTCAAGCTGATACTTGGACCCCATCAGTTTTAGCCTTTTTGCATCAAATTAGCGTAATAATCAAAAGTTTAAACCTTAATATTTTGTCCTATAGTGTCCCTGTCCAATCAAGCCACAACCCAAACATTATTTAGAACTTACCATTTCTTAATGATTAAAAGATAAAGTTTAAAATAATGATTTCAACCATTTCATATAGTATCTCATAATAATCGTAATAAGAACAGAATTGAAGATGCTTGGTGTTATTTTAAGAGCAAGACGGTCTTTTTATTCTACAGAAGGTTTAACTGGTAAACAAGTGGTGCTAAATCCATCAAGAAAAATATTTATTAAGGTGTTTATCTTTGTAGCAATAATATTAATAACTTTATGTAAGTAGCACTTTTAAAAACAAGGGTTTAGTGCTTTGACATGCAGACCATTGTCCATGACTCGCTGGTTTTTGTCCTCACATCCATTATTTTTAGCTAAATGTTTTGATCCTTTTGTCCGAACTATGAGCCTGTTTTGCAGTCACTAATTTGCTGTATTTAGGTCAGTTTTTCAACTACTACTTTGTTAAAATATTCAGATTTTTGGCCTCTGCATCTGTCTGTGTAGATGCTGGTGTATGAATTTTTGTTTTTAAGAATAACTTAAATGTTTCAGTGATTACCAGACCTACACACGATCAGTATCCCAAATGTATTAAAAACATTTTGTAGAAGAAACCATCCTCTGGTCATGTTCTGTTGTTTTCATTATGGACTGATAAATTGATTTTTCCAGGTTTCCAATGACCCGTCCTCATGTTTGTGTAAAATGGGTTGCTGCGATGAACAGAGACAACTTCAAGCCGACAAAATACAGTAGTATCTGCTCAGAGCACTTCACCAAAGACTGCTTCAAGATGGAGTGCAACAACCGAGTGCTGAAAGACAACGCAGTGCCGTCGATCTTTGACATGAAGGTGAAGCAGATCACCCATCACTGATGAGGTCTGTTAGGCATTATGTTGCCTTTGGTCGGCTCAAAAAAGAACTAAAACCTCTTTTTGTGTTTTCTGTCTCGCAGACCTTGGAGGATTCCCTCACCATGGACATCCCCTCCCCTCTCTCTCTACCTCAGAACTCTGATCCTGCAACAGCTGGGATAGACGACCTGCCTGACACGGCGTCGGTCTGCTGTGATCACGACTACACATCAGAGGACTCATCTCGGCAGAAGAGGCGCATCGAGCAGCTGGAGAGTCAGGTGAGGATCCTGAAGAAGAGACTGAAGTCGATGCAACAGAAATGTCGGCGGCAGGAGGTGAGGCTGAAGAGGCTGAAGGCCTCATGTGGGACGCCGAAAAAGAACTGCGAAGGTATCCAGTTACAAGACGCAGAGGGAGGTCAGTGTGATCTGAAAGCAACCAGAGAACCTGCTGAAGAGCCGCTGGGCGAGTCAGTGAAGCCAGAACTAGAATCTGGAGAACTCTGTGAATCAGAAAGACCGCCTAAGGAAGAGGAAACTTCAGCCTGATTTGAGAGACAAAGAAAATCCCATACATATCACTTTTGCTACTTTATATCTTTTATTTGATAGTTTTTCTCTCTGGGTTGCTGTGATATGACTTTGAGATGAATGTTTTGGGTTTTGGCAGAGGTACGATTCTCTGCTTAAATCATTTTTTGCATAAAAACAGACTGTTGCCATGACTCCCTGGAGTCGTAATTTAAGGAGTGGAAAAGCTGTGCAAAAGTTCAAGGTGGATTGTGAATTATTTTTGACGATATTTGACGAAAAAAACTTGTCAATCAACCCGGTAAAACTCTTCAAATACTACACTTCTTATTGTGTTTATGCACTTGTCCAAGTCATCATGCAGTCCATGGTAAAGATTCAGCAGAAATGCTGGTTTGTGTTTTATTTTTCAATCCAAGACCAAGCCAGGCCAAACAGTTCTCCTTCTATGACTGCACCTGGAAGTTAAAGATTTTGACTTATCGCTGGAGAAGACGTGGAATCAGCTTGCTGTTTTTTCAGCACTTCACTGCATTGTTTAGGCAAATGCATGGTAGATGTTGTACTTGGGATTGCACTAAAAAAAAGTAAGGAATCAGACTCGAACCTGTCTTCAAACTATGCGCAAAGTTTTTGAATATTCTTTATCACAAAGAAAATCTCTTAATGACCCACAAAGGTGATCATTTTCACCTTTCCATTGTGCCGACTCTGATCCTGCAAACTAAGTCAACGCATCTTGAAAATAAAAACATTGGAGTTGAGAAAAATATTTGAAAGTCTCTGGAGAAAAGTTTCAGTCAGATGTAACAGGAAATTTGTTTTCAGCTGACAAATCTAAATTAAACCAGCTTGTTCTGGAGAAGACTAAAAAATATTGACTCAGCTCTGGATTTCATGCTCAAACTGATACAGATGTGGGGTTTAGAGACACCATCCATGTGCTCAAGATTTAGAAATTATCACCTTATGGGACTTCAGGGAGTCTGTATGAAAGAGCTTTACTTTTTTAGTATTTTCTTCTTGACAAACAAAACACAAAAACAAAGTGTGTGTTCAGGATCTTTTCACAGATGCTACATGCAATAAACTTGAACGTCTCTGAAGCCATAACAGCTGCTTTGTCCCATCTCCTTAAATAAGCTGATGTGTTTCACACTAATAAAATGGTCAGGGGCCTTTTATTACACTGTGCTGTATCATGAATATATTTTGAAGTTTGATAGGTATAAATATAAAATATCACTTTAATATCAACCGTCGATAGTACAGACAGGATTTCAGGATACCAACACTTATGTTTTTCTTTTATGCCTCAATTTTATTAATCTATAACCCTTTAAACCCTTTATTTTACTTCTAAAAAACTGACCAGACTCTGTTTACTTTTGGCCAGCAGATGGCGCTGCAGAGCTGCAAAATAGAATCATTCAATGACGATCTACTGATGTCTTGCACACCAAACACATGCTGCACTACCTGGTGAGCAAAAGCTGTGCCTCTCTTATTCAAAAAGATTGACAACAATTTCAGTTGCACTTATTTAAATTTTTACTTGAACAAAGTGCATGAAATTAAATGCGTTTTGAGTGCATTGCGAAACAGTTGTATTTAATCTGCTGTTACTTGCATTTTGGATTTAATGCCAGAAATGTGTTAAAAATAAAGAGAGGACAGGGACGTGTTTTCTCTTCACACAGACACTCTTTTTGGAAACCTGTTTTTCAGCTGCTCAGTGGTCTTCCTTGCCTTGTGTATTGTGTTATATGCTTTAAACAACAAGTCAAGAGCAGACTCCGCAGAACCATGTTGTAACACATGCAGAATGTGGTGTGGTATTGTCTTGTTGAATTACGTTAGTCATTCCTTGATAAAAATGTCCTCAACTTGGCAGCAAAACCTGGATTTACTTATGTGCGGGTTACTCATGTTCAGTTTTCTAATACATCCCCATACCATCAGAGATGATGATTTTTAAGCTGTGTGCTGATAATAAACTGGGTGGTATTGCTTCTCTTGAGAGTGGAGGATGCTGTCCATGATTTCCAAAAAGAATATCAAATAATTCATACTTACTCATACATCGTCAATCCTATTTCTGACTCTTCAGGCACAGAGTAAGCCAAGGTCTTTGGTCCCTCAACCCATTCTTGCTCCACTGTGGATAAACCCTCTTAATGTTAAGTAACATTAATGCCCTTATGACTTTCTCTTTAACACCATCAACAGAAAATCCACAACAAATTACCATTGCGTTGGGTGTTGCTGTGTTGCCTCTGTGACATATTTTGGAGCTGTGCCATGGGCAGGGACTGCTGTGATCCAACTGGTGGAGCCATGGGATTAAAGTCACGCCCGTCCTGCTAACGGAAACACTAACAACGAAACAACTTAGTAGTAAAGTGTGAAAGCCCTGTCAGGTGGGTCCACTCCACAGCAGAACAGGTCCACAGCTGTAGAAAGTTCAGTTCTTCTTGTGTTAGTCACTCTAACGTTTTCTTCTTGCCTTTCCAGTGCTACAGGAAGGGTTGTCGATCACAGTGCTACACCCTTTTTTGTGTCATCAAGTAACCTAAACTGAAGTTCTTGGATAGATAAACAGTTGGAATTAAATTTACTTGATAAACACTAACTAAACAACGAGAGACATGTTTAAGGAACATTTATTAGCCTTAAGTTTGGTGCTTATAGTTTGACACTCGTCCTATCTGTTATTATGGAGGGGGCGGGGTTTATGACCTGTACTGCAACCAGTCAGAAGGGAAAGTTTTGGTGTCACTTTACTGAGCTCTGCCTTGATAGCTGTCACCATTAAGGTTTGCTAAATGATCCTATTTGGACAAAAGGGTGGAAAAACATTCTGATTCCTTTTTGATTTGACTTATGACCACAGATTGAGTCAAAAAATAATTATGAAAGTGCTTTACTAAATTCTAAAATAGTCAGCAGAGGAGGAGGACCATTTTCTCATGGACTTCTATTCCATCTCACTTCTTTTTTGTACCCTACTGGTCATTAGGAAGATTGCAAGTGTACTTCTTTTCTGCATTGGCCTCACCTTAAAATCATGTCACTACTTTCACAGTAATCAGCATGTTCTTCCAATACTGACCATCATTGCAGCTGTAATCCCCCCTGCAGCCTCTAGAGTGCATCAGTAACATTTGAGCCCTGGCTGTTTCAGCTTGGACTGCAAACTTCACCTCCTCAGTGACCTCGACCCTCCTCAGATGAACTCACCTCTGCAGGGCTGAATCTGATCCATGCTCAGGCTGAAGCTCCGCCCCCCTCAGGCGAAGCATCAAGGTCATCCTGTCCAAAATGCAACGCTCCTAAGGCTGAAGTCTGACCGCTCTTATTAAACAACACCTGGATGACCTGTTCCCAGAATGCTTTGCTACTACAGCAGCCACCAGCAAATAAAAGGTTACATTGACATTTTTTTAAAGCCCTTATTTAACTCTTAATTTTTAATGTGGGTGTCTCAAACAGGCTGTTATATTAGAACAGCTGCTCTGTTTCATAGCCTTTGCTTAAAAAACACTGAAGCATTACTTTTATTCAAGGTTTTAGCAGAGAGGGAGGGGAAATTAAACAAAAACAACTTCCCAAAGATGTTTTCCCCCAAAAAATACAGAGATATGAATAAAAATATTGTATATTGATCTGTACACATAGTTAATTAGTTCAGAATCCTCTTTTACTCACTCTCTGTAAACATTAGTGAACCCCGGAGACTGTTTTCTGGAGTTCTGAAAATGAAATGTTGTCCCATTCTTGCCTGATAGAGGATTTAAGAGGCTCAACAGTTCATGGTCTCCTCTATTGTATCTCTACAGAGCCATGCTGTTGTAATCCCTGCAGAATGTGGTTTGTCCTTGTTCTGCTCAAATATGAAGGTCTTCCCTCAAAAAGTCTTTGTCTGAATGGCAGTGGATGTTTGTTCAGTATTAATGAAGCCTTCACAGATGTGGAGGATACTCAAGACATGGACATTTATGTACGTAAGTGGATTTTATGGACAAAACACATGGACACTAACCTGTTGGAAAATAACATCATTAGTTGAAGATGTTCACTCAGCTGTTTTAGCATTACACAATTTTTGATCTGTTTGATTTTTCCAATACCAGCTTAGTGGTGCTGGCAACAAATTTAACAAGACTATACATTTTTCATTAAATCAAAATGTTGAGTGTCAACATTTGGCATAGTATGTTTGCCTTTTTAATTTTTCCAAATGCTGCATCTATCAGACTGAATTTGGTGAAATATTGCACAAAAAATAAATATTGCAGAATGTAGAAGTAAAAATTCACATTGCAAAATACTCCATGTAACTTAAGTTAAGTTGAAGAGCATCTTGCACAAAAGGAAAGTTGATTATATATATTTAAAATTGCGTTAAATGAGTTTTGAATTCTGGAGTAGATTAGGAAGCTGTAAGTCAGTGAAACTGCTGTATGAATTATTTCCAGTTTTTTTTGTTACAATTTTTTTCTCTGACTCTATAACAAAAATTCAAGCAAATAGAAATTAAATAGATATGTTGCTTAATAAATAGATTTTTTTAAAATAAAAATCAGATATTGGACCAAAGTAAACATAGTTATCAATCATGTAACTGAAGGATGTGTTTTAGGCTTTTCCTGGTTTTAAATGAGAGCATCATCAGAGTCTCTTCTTCTATCAGATAAATTTCCTCTGTTCACACTGATGAATCTGTTTCTTCCTCTGACCCAGATAGAACATCAGAGCTTCACTCCTCATCCTCCTCAGTCTGGATCTTCGCTGCCGAGCCTGCAGCAGCGAGTGGAGGAGAGTAAATGAAGGTTACCGGGACGCTGACGATGATAATGAAGAAGATGTATATAAATATAAATACGGCCATACATCTGAGCTGTGCCTGCAGCATTTATCAGATCTATAATACTGTCTGATCTCTGTGCCAATGATCCAATGTTTCCTCAACTCACTCAGAAAGAAAGAAACGCCTCAGGGAGGAAGAGAGCGGGGGA